ATACATATTTAGAAACTTGTCATTTATCTTCTGGGTTTTTCAGCTTATTGACCTGTAAGTTTTCAAAATAGTTTCTAATGATCCTCTGGATTTCAAAAATGTCTGTGGTGATATTTATCTATAATTTTTATTATAATTTTGTTAATTTAGATATTTTCTTTCTTTTGGCTGGTTTGTTTAAAGGTTTATCAATCTCATTTACCTTTTTAAAGAACCAACTCTGTTGTACTGATCCTTTATATTGCTCTTTTATTCTCAATTTCCTTAATTTCAGCTCTGATCTTAATTACTTCCTATCTTCTACTGATTAGGGGATTAATTTGTTCTTTCTCTAGAATCTGGAGGAATAACATTATTTATTTATAATCTATTTTTTAAATATAAGTACTCAATGCTATAAACTTTCTTCTTAGAATTGCTTTCATACTGTTCCAGAGATTTTGATATGTTGCACCTCTGTTCTCATGTTTCTAAGAATGTTATTTCTCCCCTGATTTCTTCTATGATCTGCCTTCAAAAGTGTATTATTTCATCTCCAGTTGTTAAAATGCTTTGTTTTTATCTTGTTATTGATTTATAATTTTATTCCATATTGATCTGATTGGATGCAAGGATGTATCTCTACTCTTTTTCATATTTGCTAAAACTTGTTTTATGTTCTAAAATATGGACTATTTTAAGAAAGTCCCAAGTGCTGCTGAGAAGTGAATTTGGTTGTTGATAGAAAAAATTATTCTATAGTTGTCTGTTAGATCCATTTGTTTGATAGTATGTAGTTCTAAAGAGTCTTTACTTAGTTTATGTCTGCATGACCTATTTATTGATGAAAGAGGTGTGTTGAAATCACCCACTATTAAGGTAGTGTAGTCTATTTGATTCTTAAGTATAGGGTATGTATGTAGATGCATCAATGTTTGGGGCATAAACATTTATAATCAGTATATCTTACTGTTGGATGATTCCCTTAACTAGTATTAAGTGACCTTAGTCTTCTGATTTTTTTCCGCTTTAAGTCTGTTTTGTCTGATATGAGAGAGGCTACCCCTGCTTACTTCTGTTCTCCATTTACATGGCATTTCTTTTTCCATCCTTTCTACTTCAGCCTGGATGTCTTTGCCTGTAAAATGAATTTCTTAATCCATCCCACCAATCTATATTGATTAGAGAGTTAAGACCATTTATATTCAGTGTTATTCTAAAAAGATTATTTTATTTCCTATCATTTTGATTAATTTTGAATGTTTAATTCAGCTGTGATTTTCTGTTAATTAACTATTCTTGTGGGATTCATCCGTATGCTGGCTATGATATTTATTTTCCATTTCTTCTGCATGAACTATTTCATTGAGTATGTTTTGAAGTGGTTATGTGGTTATGAATTTTTTTAGTTTATGCTTATCCTGAAAGGTTTTTATTTCATCTTCCATTCTGAAGGATAGTTTTGCTAGCAAAACTATTTTGGTTGGCACCTGTTTTCTTTCAGAGCTTGGCCTGTATTATTTGAAGCCCTCCTGGCTCTAAGTGTCTAGGCTAAGAAATCCATAGAATTCTATCTGGCTTATCTTTAAATGTGACCTGCCATTTTTCTCTTGTGGTTTTAAAAATTCTATCCTTATTCTGTATATAGGCATTTTAACTTTACTGTGTCTTAGAAAGGATCTTTTTTTTTTTTTTTTAATCTTGGCTATTTGGAGTTCTAAATGTCTTTTCTATTTGGATTTGCATTTCATTCCTAAGATTTGGAATTTTTTATGATATTACTCATTGAAAAAGGTTGTGCATTCCTTTAGTTTATATTCTGGTGCTTTCTTCTATGCCAATGATTCTTACTTTGGTCTCTTAATGTTACCCTAGACTTCTTGAATGTTTAGGCCATGTTCTCTTAACATCTTTTTTTTTTTAACTGTTAACCTTATTTTCAAGATTAAACACTTTGTTCTCAAGGCCTGAGAATCTATCTTTTGTGTGTTCTAATCTATTGGTGATTCTTTCAACTAAATTTTTAATTTTTTTGAGTCTTTCATTTGAAGGACTTGGTTTTTTTCCAGAATGAATTATTCTCCCTCCCTCCCTGTCTCTTTTTGAGATCTTTTGACTTCTGTATTTTCTCTGTAAGTTCATTACTTACATCTTCTTTTAGCTCATTGAACATTTTAACTATGAAATTTCTGAATTTTTCTCCAATATTTCCTCCACTGGGGTTTCAATGGAATCAGTTGTTGCAGTGTTGTAGGCTGTTTGGAGTGGTTCATTCCCTTGCTTTTTCATATTGCTTATATGTCTACCCATCTTCTGGGATGAATATCCTTTTTATTTTTATGCAAATAACTATTTAGTGAGCTACCTTCTCTTAAGTGCCCTGACTGGGCAAATATTCAGGCAGTGATACTTTCACTCGATGTGTATCTTCTGCTGTTCCTAGTATCAGCATCACTTTGAGAGAAGATACTAAACCCTATTACCTGCAATCACTTCAGAGCAAAGCCATGTACTGATAACCTTTAGAAAAAAATATTCTCCACAGTTCCTCTAATCTGTATGTTCTGGAATAGGTTGAGAAATTAGTTACTAAAGGTAGTAAAATTACTATACCATATAGGGGCTGAAAGGAGGAGGAGAAATTGGTCAAAGGGAAAAAAAGAAAGAGAAAAGAATAATACAAGCCAAGATAAAAGGATTAGTCTTAATCCAACTTAGTCCTATCTGGGATTGATGTTACCAGCTCTTCCTTTCTCTACAGAAAGGAAAGGGAGACCCTTCTCTGTTGAGAGAGTATACCATGTGGAATGTCTACTTTTGTTTTTACATGATGTCCAACAAAATAAACTACTAGATATATGCAGAGATTGTAACTGGATGAACAATCAGCTAAAAAAACCAAACATCAAAGCAGACCAGATATTCAAGATATTCAAGGTACCAGGCAATGGTTTTAAAATAAGTCATTAACACATTCATGAAAACAAGATACACAAAATGAATGAAAAGATTCATAATTTTAATAAGTGAAATATATTAACAAGAATCAAATGGACATTCTAGGAAAATATACTGTCTGAAATTAAGATTTCATCACAAATTCATCTCATGTATTTAACAGGAGAATGGATACAGAATAAAACAATTAGGAAACTTGAAGACAGTCAATGAAAAAGATCCAAAATTGAGCACACAGGAAAAATTAAACATGGGAAAAAAAATAGAACAGAAGGGGGAAAAAAAGTATGTAGAAGTAAATAACAACAACAACATATTTATGACTGGATTCCCAAAAGAAGAAAAAGAGAATTGGATAAAAGCAATATTTTTAAATGAACAGTTCTAAAACTGATTTAAACTATCAATCCAACAGTTTCAGTAAGCCCAGAGAACCATGCAGAATGCCTTGTGGGGATTTTGTTTATTTTGCCATGTCGTCCAGGTTGGCCTCCAACTTTGGGTTCAAGCAATCCTCGGTGTCCCAAGTAGCTGGAGCTACAGGGTGGGCACCACCATACCTAGCTAGATATTTTTTTTTTAAATCAGACTCTAGTCAAGAAGTTTGCAGATATTATAAGTGGACAAATAGGTTTTACTTAGGATACACAGGTGTTCAGAAGAAGTCAACTGTACAGGGAAATCTATGATGAAAGAGTTTTTATGTATTTCAAAACCTGCAGATCAATTTTAGAAGAGTGTAAGTGCTGGGAAATTGTGTCAGATAAACAGATGTAAAAAGATAGAAAGCGAAATGAAATTCACCTTTATACTCTTTTAGGGGAAGTGGATAATGAATTTAATATGTCTGTGTGGAAGACAATGTTCTCTTCCACCTGCTGGTAATGGAGGAGCAGAAGTGGTGAAGGATTCCTCAGAAAAAAAAAAATCAACTTAGGCAATGGGGTACACTTGTACTTAACATTTTAATAAGTACTCCTAAGTTACCTTTCAACAAGGATGAGGGCTGTAACAAATGGCCCTCCCAACCACACAAGAAAGTCAACTACCCTCAGTTGGGCTCTTCTCTTTCCTTCCTTAGGTATCTCTCTCCCTCATTCTCCACTGTTACTTTGCTCAAATCTCCTCCTGCACTCCTCCCCCATCCCCATTCAAACATATACCTTCTTGACAAGTATTTCACCAGCAATTTGCAGTGAAAATTAAGTCGCCAAAGAACTTTCTCTGCTTTCTGTCCCTAAGGGTACAAAATCTTCTATTCACCCTCATACTATCCTCCTACCCATCAGTTTAAATGCGGGGGCGGTGGGGGGGTAGTCCATCCTGTTCAAAGGCAATCCTGATTGTGAGCGTCCTTCTCCACAGGCTCATTCTGAGACAACCCCAGAACTCCCTAGGTGATCACAGCCCACTCCCTCCTTCTTAACACATTCTCCTGATTTTCCTCTGGTCTCTGGCTTTTTTTTTTTTTTTTTCATTCCTTCTCCTGTCCCTCAGGCTCTTGTTCAAAACTTAAAAGTTGGGGTTTGGGGTTTCCGCCCTGGGCCCCCGGGAGATGTCACCCACTATCTCCACTCTACTCCTTATCTTCAGCCATTACTACCCTACTGCCTTTGATCAGTACCCAGGGTCCAGACCAATTTACCTAAATTTGACTTCCCCCTCTCCAATTCCGCGGCTCCTTCCCGCCACTCCTCCCAGCCCCTATTGGAGGAAGTCTTTCCTGACTCCTCCCCTTTCCACCTCCCCCCGCCGGACCCGGGTCCGCAGTCCAGTGGCTGCAGTACCTCGCAGATCTGAGGAATGTAGTTTTCCTTGAAGTAGTTCCTTAGCCTGGGGCTGGCAGTGCGTAGAGAGGACATGGTCAGAGGCCGGGCAGAGACGCTACGCTCTGTCTCCCCACAGCGCCCCGCGCCTCCGAGCTGCTCAGGGAACACGGACTCGCTGCGACCATGCGTTGCCTGGCAACCACTGGGCTGGTTGCGGAGTCGCGCGCAGCCCGCGTCCCCACCGTGAGGGGGGGGCGGTGAGAGGGGCGGGTCTAAGGGGGCGGGCCTCCTGCCCAGCGGGCTGAACTAGGGAATAAGCCCCCGTAAGTGTCGCCCGGACGCAGCGACGCAGCTTCTCCAGGAGTCAGCTCCCCGCCCCGCCTGGTGGAAGCTCCGGGAACCTGCGGGGTCGAGTGGGAGGGTTTACGATTTAACAGTGCCATTTCCGGGAGGCGGAGCTCAGGCACCCATTTTCTTTCTCGCTGCTGAGCCTCAGTGCTTTGGAGACCCCACGTCGACCCCCTTGAGCAGCCTGTCCGGGCCCGGCCGCAGCATGGGCGGCGCGCGGGACGTGGGCTGGGTTGCGGCAGGCCTGGTCTTGGGCGCCGGCGCCTGCTACTGCATTTACAGACTGACCCGGGGCCAGCAGCGGGGTAGCGGTGGGCGCTGGCTTCGCCCTTCGCGGTCCGCAGGTGAGGTCGCGGGGTACCCTGCAGATGGTTGGGTACCGGTACAGGGGCCATCCCCGGCCAGGATGGAGGCGAGGACGCCACGACTTGTGTGGTTTCCCTGTCCTTGGAGTAAAAGAGAGGGCCGAGCTAGAGAGAGAGGAGTGGCTAGTGAAAAGCGCGGGGTCCCGAAGCCCAAGAGACGATCCGCCCTGCCACCTGGGCTTCCCAGCTTCCACTTCTTTGTTCAAAATCTGGAGTTGGAAAATTTGCCCAGACTTTTGTACTTGCGATCGGCGACATAGCAGAAGACCAGGTTTCTCAGAAAATCAGGAGAGGTTTCAAAGCAACCTGTGCGTTGCTTTGCCTGTCATTTTAAAGCTTGTTCTGGGCCTTTGGGTTACCAAAGGCAGACCCCGATCGAGGGAGGGGTGTTGGGGCCCTGGAGCCCTAGAGGGAAGTTTGCAGCTGCCTGATAGAATCAACACCAAGGGGGCAGTTCTGCCCTCACTTGGCCCAGCACACAACTCTTCTTTCTAGAGTTGCTTGAGGATTAAATGAAGTAAAATATGTAAAGTGCTTACTGTCAAGATGATCCACCGTCTCGCAACTTGGGAATGGGGGTGTGTATTGGTTATTGGAACAAGTCAGCACGAGGCACACTCCCCCAGCAGACAAGTCCATGATGAGGTTTCTGTCTAAAAGTTGATTAAATCTGTACATTCAGAATTCTAACAGCCTGCTCTTGGTCCAGATCATGGAAACTTTCGGAAAATAATTAAAATCTGCCAACCAAGAAACTCTTCCGCAGATGTAATGAACCAAACAGCTTTATTATTGAGTAAGCATTAAGACATATTGCCTCAAACATCACAGGCAGTCTACTAAAGGAATTCCAAAACAGAAGGCCCACCTCTATAACCGGCCATATACAACTCAAATAATAGCTTGTCCTTAAGAAAGAAAACTTGACAGCACTGTTTGTTTTTACATCCCAGATTCATTGATAAATAGGGTGGTTATGTGTGTTAACTAGTTGCCTTGATCCAGAAAGGGGGGGACCTTTGTGATAAGCAGGTAGTTAAAAAATGGAAGCAGGTGCCTAAGCTAAGATAGCCTCACAGAACTGAGGGGATTGGGGTTCAACTTGAATGTTTCCATTTCAAGGTGATGGCTCCCAAATCTTTAAGAATAACTGTCCTTGGATTGTAAAACTGGCATTTACTTTTTTAAAATTTACATTTCTATCAAAGGGACAAAGGATTTAAAATCACAAATTTGCTCAATGAAATGTTCTAAGAAAGTGAGTTGGGTGTCTCTTGTCACAAGGAAAAGTGATTGAGGTGTGTATTTACTCTTAGCCTAATTTTTTGACTCTTGTGTCAGAGGTATTTCTGTGTAAATAATTGGGGTGTTTACCTGGACCCAAATACCTTCTCACTTATCCTGATTCAACCTGATGAACTCTGACAATGTTTAGTTTTTTGGACAAAAGGGAATGAATCATTACTTTAGGTCAGAAAACTTTAAAAATAAATTGCTCAGAGTCCTTTCTTCCTGAAACTACACCTCTATTTTTTTTATTCTTTTTAGATATACATGACAGCAGAGTGTTTTTTGACATATTATAAATACACGGAGTAAAACTTATTCTAATTAGGATCTCATTCTTGTGATTGTACATAATGTGGAGTTTCAATGGTGTTGTATTCACACATGAACATAGAAAAGTTATGTCTGATTCATTCCACTGTCTTTCCTATTCCTATCCCCCATTCTTTTCATTCCCCTTTGTCCAATCCATTAAACTTTTATTTTTTTTCACCTCTGCCCCCACCCCTTGTTGCGTGTTAGCATCTGCATATCAGAGAGAACATTGGACCTTTGGTATTTGGGGATTGGCTTATTTCACTTAGCATGATAGTCACCAGTTCCATCTGTTTACCAGCAAAAGTCTAAAGTCATTAATTTTTATTCTGTTGTGTATGTATACCACATTTTCTTTATTCATTCATCTGATGTGGGGCACCTAGTTTGGCTCCATAGCTTAACTATTGTGAATTGTGCTGCTAAAAACATTGATGTAGCTGCATCACTGCAGTATGTTGATTTTAAGTCCTTTGAGTATATACTGAAGAGTGGTATAACCAAATGGTGGTTCCATTCCTAGTTTGTTTGTTTTTAGCAATCTTAATACCGCTTTCCAGAGTGGTTTTACCCATTTGCATTCCTACCAGCAAGATATGAGTTTACCTTTTCCCCCCACATCCTCTCTAACAAATACTGTTGCTTATATTCTTGATTATTGCCATTCTGACTGGAATGAGATAAAATTTCAGTTTTAATTTGCATTTCTCTAATTGAACATTTTTTCATTTATTGGTTGATCATTTGTATTTCTTCTGTGAAGGTAATTTGCTTTTTGGTGTTAAGTTTTTTGTGTTCTGGATATATCCTGGAGGTTAGTGCTGTATCTGAAATGCAGGCAGCAAATATTTTCTCCCATTCCATACCGTCTCTCTTCATGCTCTTGATTGTTTACTGTGAAGAAGCTTTTTAGTTTGATATTGTCCCATTTATTCTTTTTTTAAAAAAAAATAATTTTAGTTGTAGATGGACATAATACCTTTATTTTATTTATTTATTTTTATGTAGTACTGAAGATCAAACCCAGGGCCTTACATATGCTAGGCAAGCACTCTAACAATAAGCTACAACCCAAAACCCCATTTATTGATTCTTGATTTTACTTATTGAACTTTAGGTGTCTTGTTGAAGAAGTTGCTTCCTAAGCCATCATGATAGAAAGCTCGGTTTACACTTTCTTTTAGGGTCTCTAGTCTATGCCTAGGTCCTTGATCCAATTTGAGTTTTTACACTTTTATTTTTTAAAAGGCTTGAGAAATACTCATTTTGTTATCATCACACTTAAAGTTTGAAGGGTGATCTTTTCTTTTGTCTTGAAGTTTAAGAAATTTGTAATTCCTGTACTGTTAAGACTGTTAGCATTGAAAAAATATGGGGGGGGATCATTCAACAGTCTCATACAAAAACATGACAGGGATAGCATGAAAAACTGTTAATCTCTCTCAATTATGAATAAAAGTAAAAATCTTAAAGTATTAGCAAATCTATCAGGAATTAAAGAAATAATACATATACCAAGGCCAGATGGACATACAAGGAGAATTCATAGCAAGGAAAATATGTCATTTATTGCATTAGTATATTAGAAACCACATGGTGATCTCATAAATATAATTTGATTTGTGAAAATATTCCTGATTTTTAAACTGCAGCCAAGTTAGGAATAAATAGAAGGAAATGTTCTTAAGTTGAAGAGTGTTCATCAGAAACCAAAGGTAGAGTTGGGGATATAGCTCACCAGTAGACCACTTGCCTAGCATACAAAAGGCTCTGGGTTCAATCCCCAGCAAAAAGAAAATGATACAAAAAAACAAAGACAAATATATTTAATGGTGAAACACAAGTAGTATCACTATTAAATTCAAGAACAAGAGAAGTATGACTACTGTCGTAGCTATTATTCAACATTGTCTTAGAGTTGCAGCCAGCTTGATAAGAATGAAATGCATGAATATTAGAATAGAGGCAAAATTATGATTGTAGATGACAATTTTTATTTGGAAAAATCCAAAATAATTAACTGAATAACTATTACAAGCAATAAGTTTTATAAAGTAACCTGACTATAAGATAAATATACTTTAGTCAGTAGCTTTTTATATATACACATCGTATACAAGAATTAAATATAAATTTAATTAAAAATATTTTAGTCACAGTATCTATAAGACTTTTTTTTTTTGGTGCTGGGGATTAAACCCAGGACCCTGTGCATACAAGGCAAGCACTCTACCATTTGAGCTATATCCCCAACCCAATATCTATTAAACTTTAAAAATTAGGATTACATTTATCAGAAAGCTTGTATGATGATAAATTTACTTCTGTCCTTACCACAAGTAGGACTATTCATTATTCTAGCATCCCAGTCATGTTCCTTTAAAACATACAAAAATGCCACACAGGCAGTGTGCTTGAGTTATTATAAAATTATAGTCAAAAAAGTTCTACTTAATGAAAACCTATTCTGTAACTAACCAATGACATGGGGGAAGTGTTACTTTGGGTAGGCAAGCCTGGTTTTTAAAGGAAGAAACAAAATACTATCAGTATTAGGGGTGTATCCTATTTGCACACAGTGTCTTACTAATAGACATAGACCAAGTGACCACTTCACATCTATGAGCTTCAGTTTCCCACTTATAAATTGTAAATTTCTTCTTTCTAGAGTTGCTTGAGGATTAAATGAGGTAAAAATGTAAAGTGCTTAAAACTGTGCCTAGCATCAAGAGTGTGTGTTGATACTGTTTTAAAATTAAAAAAAAAAAGTTCATGTTGATTTTAGATGAATTTTAACTAAATTTTCTTCTTATGCAGAAGACTTAACCAGTGATTCATGTGATGATGTTCTAAATGCTGAACAACTTCAGAAACTCCTTTACCTGCTTGAATCAACTGATGATCCTGTAATTATGGAAAGAGCCTTGGTCACTCTGGGCAACAATGCAGCCTTTTCAGCTAACCAAGTAAGTACCCTCATTCAGCAAACAAGCTCCTTCTATTCTTACACACTAGCAGTAATTGTGACCCTAGAAAAGTTACTTAATCTCCTAGAGCCTCAATTTTCTCCTCACTTACGCCTACAACATAATGTTTGTTTACTTCTGAAAACACAGCCTAGCAGTAATATGATTATTGATATGTTGCTAGATCCCTATGAAGCTGATTACTGGCATTGCACATTATAGTAAGTTTATCCAACATTTATCAGTGTTAGCAGTGCTTCAATAAAACAATAAAAGCATCTAACATTTAAGTACATGCTTTAAATTGTGTAATAGATCTTTGCAGTATGGTTCTGATGCAGATGGTCCCTGGATCACTCTGTTAACTCCTAAATCAATGTAAGTAGCTTTTACAAGTACAGACTTAACACCAAGACTAAAGAGCTTTATTTGAATACTTCCTGTTCCTCCTCCCTGCTTCCCCATAGAGAACAAGTCAAAACATTTTTATAATTTTTTAAATATCATGCCATTTGTTAACATCATAAATGCAAGGATATTCTGAATTTATACTTTCAGTCCAGTTTTCTCCAGAATGACAGGATTTACTGATTTTTAAGGAGATATACAAAATATTTATACATTATTCTACTATTTCAATTGCAAGTGATAGAATCCCAGTTATTTTAAGCCCAAAAGGGAAAATGTTGGACTTCTAAGAATAGCATTGGCATCAGGCACAATTGAATCTAGTTCAAGGTTGTACTTCACCTTTTAGCTTTGCTTATGCCAGCTTTTTATGTATTGGTCTTTGGCCCAGAAAGATTTGCTTCAATGAATGGAAAGAAAGCCGTTAGCCTCTTAGGCCTTCATCCTTATGGCTCATGATCCAGAATGTAACATTGTTCTCCCAGGATTAGGTACCCTTTGGATCAGTCTCTGAGGCAAAGGACCATGGACCATGATTAGTGAGGCCTGGCTTACATGTAGGATGTGTGTGCCACACTAGCAACACAATTAGACAGTAAACACAGTTGGCCAACAGTCTCACCAGGGGACTGTGTGGAATAGAGGAGGTACCAGTCTGACCCAGTGGGAAAAGAAGCACTAGGCAATAAAAGAGTAGATGGTGACTAAATTGTTAACTTGCATGTATTGGAATATTTTGATGCCATAGTTTCCTATCCTTCTGAAACAAGTTGTAGTCAGAGTGGGTCAGTAGCCACTGGTGAACAAGTATTCCCTTGAGCAATGGCAATCATTGCTCCTCACCATCAATTATAGTGCCTAGATGTGCTTTAGCAGTAGTCATGGTGCTTAAGGATCTTTTATGACAGACTTCATGTAGCATGGTAGCCCTATAAGAATATGCTGTTTAGTGACGTAGCCCTATTAGTTTGTGTTAAGCACATTCTATGATGTTTGCACAGTGATGAAATAACCTAATAAGCCATTTCTCAGAACATGTCTCTGTGGTTACATTGCATAACTACACAGAAAAGGGCAAGTCCTTCAAAAAACCTGGAACTGCAGAGGGAAGTTTCTTTTTCTACAATGCTAAGCTCATCTTTAACATAGAGTATTGGGCAATTTGTAAAAAGTAGATGATGGCAGTCTTTTTTTTTTTTTTTTTTTTCTGACAGAATGACATGTCTGGCATGAGAAGAGTACTTTTCAGCTTATTTTTCTTATGAGAATTAAAGCAACTGATAACTTCTTTCAATCTTGGGACCAATGACACATGGTAACTCAGGGTGGCAATTAATTATGCAAAAAATCGAATGGTTTTTCCTCAGAAAATCTGGGCACCACTTTCCAAACTGTGTGAAACTTCAATTCTGCAAGATATTAATGTATTGCTTTGACTTCCACCACTGAAAAATGACCCTTTTGTGTATAGTTCACAGAACTACACTAGTCATTACTCCCTTCTTAAGAGATTCCCATTGCACATGAACATGTTACTGCCTCACAATAAAGAAACGTTTTCCCTTGTTATACCCAGAGTTCCCCAAACTCACATAATTATTGAACCCCCCCTTTTTAATGAGACATCTGTTAACAACTTGAAGGACTCATGTTCCAAAAAATATACATTACAGACACTGTATTCTAAATCTTAACACTTTTCCAAGTTTGCCTGTAATAAAGAAGTCACATAACTCATTTCAAAGTAAAATAATTTTATTTGTTAACTGCTTCAAAATCATTATAGTAACTGCAAATCTTCATTGTATAACTATAGTACAAATAATCACATATTTTGATAATTTTATTTTCAATTGCTTTTCTTTACCCACAGAATTATGTGTAGACAATGGCGTCATCAATAGACAGTAGTTGCTGGGCACAATGGCATGCTCCTGTAATCCCAGAGGCTTGGGAGGCTGAGGTAGGAGGATCATGAGTTCAAAGCCAGCCTCAGCAACTTAGAAGGCCCTAAGCAACTCAGCAAGACCCTGTCTCAAAATAAAATATTAAAAGGGCTGGGGATGTGGTTCAGTGGTTGAATGTCCCAAAGTTCAATCCTTGGTACCCAAAAAGGAAAAAAAAAAATAGACAATAGTTGTATTCTATGTATTGCAAAAAGGTAGAAGAAAGGATTTCAAATATTTTCACCATAAAGAAGTGATAAATATTTAAAGAAATAGTACATTTAACCTGGTTATGATGAACCCAGCCTAATTCCATCTTAAGATTGGGAGCCATCTTGACACAAGGTCATGAAAAGTTCAGTTCTGTTTACTGTAAAATAACAAGATTTCTATTTGGCCTGACCACATTTTGATGTTTTAAACTTGCTTGGAACTCCTGCCTGTGCTTTAAACTTACCCATGCCTGGCTCTCCCTGACCAGATAAAAACCTTCCCTGAAATCTCAGCTGCTCCTCATTAACTTTGATATTGGTAAGGAACAACCATAGCATGCTTTAGCTCATTTAAAGGAGGCTGGGCATGAGCCTGGAAAGGTAGGCAGGGTTTACTCTGCTATCCAGCAGCCTTCAGTGGCTACTGCTGCTATATATATATATTTTTTTTTTTCCCCCCTTCTTGGTGGTGCTGGGGATTGAACCCGGGACCTTGTGCATGCAAGGCAAACACTCTACCAACTGAGCCATATCTCCAGCCCAAACTTTGAGATGTTAAGTTTACTTCCCACTTTGAGATGTTAAGCTATGTAGATCATTAACCTGCTGTCTGCCCTTGTATTACGCTTAACAGAACCCGGTCAGCTGTAAGCTTCCAAGATACTCACCTTTGTAACTTTTCTTTTAGACCAGAGACTGTCCTTTGGCCCTGTATTTGGGTGAGGCAGTCACTGATAAGCTCTCTTGTGTACACAACATAAGCTTGCTTTAATTTGGTTTAAAATTGGAGTGGGTGATCTGTTCTTTGCAAGGTGGGTTCAACAATTACACAATATATAAATGTATCAATACATTACAAAGTATTCCATTAATATGTACAATTTTTGTTTTTATGTAAGAGATTAAAATTTTTTTTAAATATTAGGTTTTCTTAGAAAGATTTTTTTTTCAGTTTTAGGTGGACACAATATCTTTATTTTATTTTTATGTGGTGCCAAGAATTGAACCCAGTGCCTCACGCATGCTAGGCACGCATGCTACCACTTAAGCCACATCCCCAGCTCCAGAAAGATTTGTATACGGGAAAGTATTTCTTAAAAGTGACTAACTTTTTTTTAAGTAATTAACTTACTTTTGTATTTGTAGATCTGCACACAGTTCAGTGAAGGGGATGTATATTGAAGTTATGGTCCTGTTTGTTTCCCCCCCTTCTAGGCTGTTATTCGTGAATTAGGTGGTATTCCAATTGTTGGAGACAAAATCAATAATCCAAACCACAGTATTAAAGAGAAAGCTTTAAATGCACTAAATAACCTGAGTGTGAATGTTGAAAATCAAATCAAAATAAAGGTAAGCTGTCTGAAATAAAAAATATATAAGGTTTTCTACATATAAAAGGGAAAATAATAAAACAGTAAATAATGAAGCTTCATTAGACTGTCCTGTATTACTTCATGGCAAGAATTAAATTCAAAGGAATAGAGAATAAAGCAGAGGAGGGAGGAACCTGAACTAGTTTAAAAGAAGTACAAGAAACTTTTATAATTGGAGTTCAATTTAATGCAAAGGTGCTAAAAGAACCAAGCCAGAGGGGGTGGGGTTGTAGTTCAGTGGAAACGTACTTGCCTGGCATGTGTAAGGCATAAAAGTAAATAAATAAAAAGAACCAGGCCAGAATTAGAAAACTTCAGAAGGACTAAATAAAAAATTATATGAATTGAATTCAACATTTATTGAACAACTGCTTTGTAGTACAGAGTATAGGCATGAATAGAATGCTTGCTCTAAGAAAGTCAAGGTGGGGTAAGGCAAATCCATAAATATTTATGATTCAAGACAGAAGATGATGGATTGCTTTAAGGAAGGATAGGTAAAACATTGTTGAGTACATGGAAAGGAGAGATTGCCATCCAAAAATATCTGCAAGAGGTGGAATCTGACCTGGCTCTTAGAAATGTCTAAGGTGTCTATAGGTGGAGATGAAGAAGGAAAGAATTTTTTTTTTTTTAAACAAGGAGAGAATTCTAAAAGAAAAGAATTAGTTGAAGTGGGCACAGATCCAAAAATTACTGAGCTGCCCCATTGGGTAAGCTTGTTACTAGAATTGAAATAGTAAAAAGATTCATATACAATGAGGATGGAAATATTCAACACATTTTAGTAAGTGCTTTGAAAGACATTGGCATCTTATAAAAATAGGTGACTTATAAACAACTAAAAAAAGGTCACTTTTTAAAAAATATTTTTATTGTATATGGACACAGTACCTTCATTTTGTTTATTTAGTTTTTTATGTCGTTCTGGGGATCGAACCCAGTGCCTCACACATGCAAGGTAAGTGCTTTACCACTGAGCCACAATCCCAGCCCCTAAAAAAATGCCACTTTTAAAGGATAGAGTATGTAATAAAATTGTAAGCAGTGAAAGCCAGTTGACTTGTAGATATAATTTAGAGCTTAAATGTTTAGATTAAAAATTCAATCTCTTTATTGTCATTACTGTCTTTGGCAACATGGATATATTTATTTATTTATTTGTTTATTTTCTTTAAAATGGCTAATTGGAATGTTGGTCATTTCTTAGCACTTCAAATTAGAAAATTTTTCTTACTAGTTTTAAATTTTGGTGGAGTTTCGATTTAGTAATGTGAATATCAATTTTCTGTGAAACATAATTTTTCCAAGCTAGAAAGATCATGGCCATACACTGTTTTTCTGAAAACAGAATTTCAGAAAACTTTTCATCATACTGGTTTTGTTCTCCCATGTGTGAAATAGGAGTATTACCAGCATTACATTCATTACTTTTGGCCAGTGGTGGTTAACAACAATATGAAGGGATAAATAAGTGTGTGTGTGCGCGCGCGCGCGAGCATGTGCTCACGTGTGCATGCATGCTTACATATAGATAGATAGGTAGAAAGATAGACAGATAGATAGATGTGTATAAGAAAAACCTTTGGCTAAATATAATTTTGCTCTGCTTTTTTTTTTTTTTTTTTTTTGGTACCAGGGATTGAACCCAAGGGAACTCAACCACTGAGCCACATCCCTAGCCCTAGTTTGTATTTTATTTAAAGACAGGGTCTCACTGAGTTATTTAGCACCTCACCATTGCTGAGGCTGACTTTGAACTCATGATCCTCCTATCTCAGTCTCCCAAGCTTCTGGCATTACAGGCATGTGCCACCATGCCCTGCTCTGCTTACTTTTGGTAGAAATAACTCTAAAGAAAAGTTCTACTTCATGTTGTTCCCCCATTCTTTACTTCTGAAATGGTGAAATTCTTAATACCCTTCTGCTAAGTTATTTACCATGATACAAAATGGCTATGCATATCTTCCTCCCTGAACCTATTGTACCCAGACCAGTTTTAAAAAGTGGATTGAATTGGGAGGCTCCCTTCAAGAAAGGCCACTGGTGTTCAGAGCATGATCTCTGGACTTGGACATTGTCCCCCACCTGCTAGTTGACATTATACAGGGTCCTAAGCTCCTTAAAGACTTTAAAGTCTCTGGATGTAAGTTAACCATTATAACCCCCACCTCATTAAAGTTGACTTCAGGATTATATGAGGTGTATTTTTTAAATGCTCAGCGCAATGCCAGGAATTAACAAAAGCAGCTTTAAAATGTCATCAAAGTTTGAGAGCTGGGTAGAAATGTCATCTTTGGCCAGGTGCCTATAATCCCAGCATCTAGGGAGGCTGAGGCAGGAGGATAGCAAGTTCAAAGCCAGCATCAGCAAAAGCGAAGTACTAAGAAACTTAGTGAGACCCTGCCTCTAACTAAAATACAAAATAGGACGGAGTGATTGAGTGCCCCTGAGTTCAATTGCCGGTATCCACGTCCCCCCACCCCACCAAAAAAAAAAAAGTCATCTTTGTTTGAGGGCTGGGTAGAGATTTTATCTTTTTTGAGGAACCAGTTTCATCCTGAACAGTTGCCTTACTCCACTGTGAGAAAAGTTTGGGAGATTTAAAGATGCTCACTTTTCCCCACTTCTGCCTTCAGGTATACATCAAACAAATCTGTGAGGATGTCTTCTCTGGTCCCCTGAACTCTGCTGTGCAGCTTGCTGGACTGAGAGTGTTAACAAACATGACTGTTACCAATGACCACCAGCATATGCTGAAAAGTTACATTACAGACCTGTTCCAGGTGTTACTTACTGGAAATGGAAACACGAAGGTAAAAAAAAAGTGAAGTAGTTATTACTTGAAGGTCAAAGAGCTATTGCGTTAGTTGTTTGTTATTATTATTTTTTATTATTTTATTATTATTATTATTATTATTTGTGCATTAAGCTTGTTAAGATTGACATCAAAGCCAGGCACAGTGGCTCATGCCTATAATCCCACCAGCTTAGGCTGAGGCAGGAGGATCATGAATTCAAAGCCAGCCTCAGCAAAATCGAAGTGTTAAGCAAGTCAGTGAGACCCTGTCTCTAAACAAAATACAAAACAGCGTTGGGGATGTGGCTCACTGTCAAGTGCCTCTGAGTTCAATCCCTGGTACCTAAAAAAAAAAAAAAAAAAAAAGAGTGACATTGAAAGCCAGGTGCAGTGGCACCTGCAGAGACTCAGGAGGCTGAAGCAGAAGGATTACAAGTTCAAGTCTAGATTCTGCAATTTAGCCAAGACACTGTTTCAAATAAGAAAATGTGTGTGTTTATGTGTGTGTGTGTGTGTGTGTGTATGCACGCACACACACACACAAACCACATATGTATAAAAGTTTTTTTAAAAAGAACTGAGGATATAGCTCATGGTAATGCACCCATGGGTTAGTCCCCAGTACCAAAAAAAAAAGATTGACATTGAATTTCCAGGCCATCTATGTTAAGTTGATGTCCCTCAGAAAAGAGAAAGTTTAGTCAAGATTTATTAAAAAGCTTTGACTGGGTCTAGAAAGTACATTATTTTTATTCCCTAATATTGAATTGCAAAATTAACTTGTGAAAATGATTCACTGTTTCACGTATCTGTAGATCAATATTCATTAGATTTCCTGCGAATCAGTGAAATTACCTTTTACTAAAGTGAAGTAGCTATCTCCCCCCAACCACAAATAGAAAAATTGTGATTAACAAGAATCTGAGTAATAATGGTAGGTAAAAAAAAAAAAAAAAGTGAAGTGGTTATTACTTGAAGGTAACCCTGTTACCTCAGGGTTAACAACATTTTTCATCCGTTTGTAGAAAATCTTTCTAACACCACTTTAAACAGTAGTAAATGAAGTGAATTAGGTAGGAAAATTAATGCAGTGCTTCACTTTGTCCAGTTCTGCAGATGTAGGAGGCAACAGAGGTGGGGCTGAATTAAGTAGGCTCTCTGAGCTGCTCTCTGAAGTTTCTTGAGTAAATCCCCTGTTAGTATGATTCTCATCATTGTCATTTTTCAAGACAAGACTGCATAAAACAATGTAGACTAATCAAATATTCTCATAAGTTAGGTTGATGGCTCATTGGGGTTTTACTATATTGATCTGTGTTCTCTGGGATAGTTGAGAGAGAAATGCACAGTTTTAGAAGGACCAAATATGAAGCCATACTCCTAATGTCCTGCTGTTGCTGCAGTAATTTCTGAGGTTATCAGGATGTGATTATCGGACAACCTCACTGTGGTCTGTTTTTGAGGTGTTTGTGTGGGCTTTTCCACATTTCCCACAGCCAAACTTATTTAGATCTGGTCCAAGATTTACCTATAGGCATTCAAAATTAAATGTAAAGGCTAGGGATATAGCTTAATGATACAGAACTTGCACCTCAGCCCCACAAAAAAATAAAAATATAGACCTAAGAGTTTATCCTCTTTCAGCAATATTGCTACATCCCCAGGCAATTTCCAACATGCATGCTCCTATCAACACTCTGTCCAGTGAAGCAAGATGACTTCCAACCTGTGAGGACTCATGAAAACACTCTCCCTTCTTATCCCATGATGTGGTTACTACAAGAAAAACCTCTTCGCAGTCTGTCTCTAGCTGCTTTACCCAGAACCCCAGGAGAAACTCTGGTTGAGTGCAGAGCCAGGCAGGTCTGGCCTTGGGTCTGTATGTATCTGTCTGAGACATAGTTTGTGTTTTAATGCAATTTATAACTTTCAAAAAGAATCACATCACAACAGTATGTTTTATTTTTCCATTTCTGGGACAGAGAATTTCTTTCTTTTTTTATTATGTCACCTGGGAACCTTTCCACTAATCTTAAATTGTTTCCCCATAAAAATCAAATTTTGGAGTCATATGTATCTATTTTAGATATTTTCTTAGTAAATAACCACCAAAGTGGCTTTTTCAAAATCTTTCTTTGCTTAAGCCTTGATCTCACTGTACTTTAATGACTTTTGGGCACACCATTCATTTATAACAAAATACAAATAGTGGAAGGTTAATTAAAATAAATTCTGTGCTTGCTATATCTGCAATGAGGGGGGAAAAGCTAGCAGCTTAAAATAAATCTCCTATAGTCACCACAAGATGGCGCAGATGACAAGAGGGAAAAACAGGACTTTGCCTTTTCAAACCAAAATACAGTATATATATTTCCTTAACCTATAGTTTTCCTCTAACTTTATGTTATTTTCTTCCTGTTTAACTCTCTTCTACATAGGATAGCAACATCACCTTTTAGTACAGAATAATAATTACCTATTGCTCTTAATATTCCCTGGTATACCTGCCATCATTTACTACTCATGAGCCTTTTTGGATTTGATTGACTTTATCCAGGCTTATGTCATAGGTGCAGGACCATCTGTTTAACACCTCTTGTTCCTGTTTTCATAATTCATATTTCACTGACATTAGAGCCAGGTATTTTCCCCCTAACATTTATTCTTGGTATAGACAAGTCAGTTAGACAGATTAAATCTCACAGTGACCCCTGCCCCCTGAAGTGCATTAATGAGTCAGAAATCTCCTTTACTTAACTATCTTATAAGGCCATGATTTAATAATAGTATCTGTTTGGAGAACATGATCTCTGTGTAGCCATTTAGTAGTGACCTACTAAGACAGCAGCTTTTGTTTTTACCTTGTCCCCATGCATTAATTTTATAAAAACAAAATTTGCTGATAAAAGAAAGATTAAGCAAAGCCTTATATCCTTCTTCTCCTTAACAAATAATTAGTATGTACATGTTCAAAGGAATTGTAAGCATTCAGTATAGGATATGGGCATAAAACACAGAAAGAAAACACTAAAACTTCAGTAATCACTGGTCTAAGATCATTTCTGGTCTTAGAAATATGAAGGAACTTCTTTCTTTGTACCTTTTTGTACTTAAAACTATTCTAGGACTGAAGGTATTGCTCAGTTATGGATCACTGCCTTGCATGTGTGGCAGCCCTGGGTTTGAACTCCAGCACAAAAAAAAAAAAAAATCAACAAACATCTATTGCCTTGATAATCAAAAAGTTTTATAAAATAAGTATCCATGTTCTTGCCTAGATTTAGTAAAAAGAACTTCTTTTGCTTTTTCCTGACTTTAGTACCCTCTTCCTTCTTGTTTTAATTTCAGATCTCTCATAAAAAGTATAAGGGCTGGGGTTGTGGCTCAGCAGTAGAGTGCTCACCTAGCACATGTGAGGCCCTGGGTTTAATCCTCAGCACCACATAAAAATAAATAAAGGTATTGTGTCTAACTAGAACTAAAAAAATAGATATTAAAAAGTATAGTTTAGTTTTACATGTATTTAAAAGGGAAATTGAATTTAAATATTTTTATTCTTGATTTTTCAGAATTAAGTGGTAAGAATGCTGGTATTTTAGCTAGTCAGCTATTAATTAACATTTATTTGCTAGTTATATCACTGTCCTATATTGCAAAATATTTTTCATATAAAAATAGAATACCAAAGTCAAAACCTAATTTTTTTAAAAAGGCCATATTATTTATTTAATCTTGGTAACCAAACTATTGAAAATTTTTCATTCTTTCAGTAGAAATGAACTAAGCTTTGAGAGATTTGTTCCAAAGATCCCATTTCACTATACATATTTCACATTTATTTCTTATAAAAATCATTTAACATATGTGAAGCCACATTTTAAGAGTGTTATGTGTGTGTGAGTGGGGATTATAAAGACATTCACAATATTCTTCCTATCTCAATAGTGTAGTTAGAAAAGTAAAGGTTAAAATAACACTGCTCCCTGCTAATTGCTGACAGTGATGCCAAGTGTTCTAAGAGTTCAGAGAGACTTCATGGAGTAAAGAGAATTTGAGCCAGGCCTCGAAGCACAGGCAAGAATTTAAGGGGAACATGGTAAGAAGATAACATGGTAGGGACAGAAAATCCCTGTTTATTGGTCTGAAATAAACTAATATTCTTATTTCAGGTTCAAGTGTTGAAGCTGCTTTTAAATTTGTCTGAGAACCCAGCCATGACAGAAGGACTACTCAGTGCCCAAGTAAATAGATTACATACTTATTTTGTAAATACACTTATAAAGAGATTTGGACAAATAAATCTGGAAAGATTTATCATAGAATGTTCACAGAGCTTATCTCTGAAGAACAATATTAAGTTGTTGCTATATTATTATTCTTTGTATACATGAATTTCCTAATTTTCTGTAACAAGCATATTTATTTACTTTTAAAAATAATTTTTAAAGGTTCTTCGTAGGAATAATAAATTATAATTTTTCTGTCATCCAGTTTGGGGTAGGGTACACTTATGACATCACATTTTTTATACTTGGTTTCTTTCTGTGCACATGTGCCTTAGCAATACTGAATCCCCAGAATGTATGTGATAAATGTGGGGCTGAAATCCATGACATACCAGTGAATACGTGTGTTATCCTAGAGCTTATGGTGTAGTGGAGACAAAAAATATGTAACAAATGAACAAGATAATTTAAAAGCTGTTGAATGTTCTGAAGGAAGCAGAAGTGGTGCTAAGATAGAATAGAGTTCATTTCCTGCAGAAAAGGAACCATCTGGTTCATTTGCTCATCCCTGTTCTCTAAAATTATGCCAAAATTCTAATTAGTTGGTGTGAACAGTAAATATTTGATGAGTTAATGAGTTCTCATGAAAACTGTATGATGGATCCTAAAAAGAATATGGATGTTTCTTCAAATTACTACATTCTGGGATTCCAAGGAAATCATTCTTTAGCTAAAACACAAAACCTCTTCTCTTTGTTTTTTTTTTTTTAAAGAGAGGAGAGAGAAAGAGAATTTTTTTTAATATTTATTTTTCAGTTTTCAGTAGACACAACATCTTTATTTTTATGTGGTGCTGAGGATCGAACCCAGCGCCCCTGCGCATGCCAGGCGAGCACACTACCGCTTGAGCTACATCCCCAGCCCACAAAACCTCTTCTCATTAGTATATAACATAAGGGTGCCTAAGATTTTACATGTGTAAGTTATGCAGTCAGGGTTAATTTTCTGTGACAGCATTTTAAAAATGTAAAATATTCAATGCAGTGTTAAAATATGACAGTGATACTGCTTCCTCTTCCAGGTGGATTCATCATTCCTTTCCCTTTATGACGGCCATGTAGCTCAGGAGATTCTTCTTCGAGTACTCACACTATTTCAAAATATAAATAACTGCCTCAGAATGGAAGGTCAGTTAGCTACTCAGCCTCCTTTCTCTAAAGGTTCATTGTTTTTCCTGTTATATGGAGAAGAATGTGCCCAGAAGATGAGAGCTCTAGTTTATCATCATGATGTGGATGTGAAAGAAAAGGCTCTAACAATAATACCAAAATTCTGATTGGTTGATCATATTTTTCCAAAGAGTAATGCAGTCTGGAAGTTAATACTCCGAAAATTATTTTCCATTTTCCTTATAGAGGGATTCTTTCAGCTATTGAATTCGAGCAGCAAATATCACTTTTCATCTTTAACACAGTACAGGTGGAACATCTCTAATCTGACACAATGCTCAAAATTTGAGATTCTGGAGCATTTTGGATTTGGGGTTTGGGGATTAAGAATGTTTAACCAGTAAGTCAATTATGCAAATATTCCAAAGTATGAAAAACTCCAAAATTTGAAATACTGTTCTCAAGTATTTCAGATAAGGAATACTCAGCCTGTATAACTTGCTGTGGTTTGCAGGCTTATTTTGGACCATTTATTGATACCAAGTGAATATAAGAGCTTGAACTAAGACCAGTTATTTCACTATATGCTGAGATATTTTAGTTATTTCCTCTACATAAGCAGTAATCTTCTACCTTTTTTGTGGGGGGCAGGGTATTGGGAATTGAACCCAGAGTGCTTAACCACTTAGTCACATCCCCAGCACCCCACCCCCTGCTTTTCTTTTTCTTTTTCTTTTTTGAGATAGAGTCTAAGTTGCTGGCTAGCCTGGAATTTATGACCCTCCTGCCACAGCTTCCCAAGCTACTGGGATTACAAGTATGCACCATCACACCTGGCCCCCTCTACTCTGAACTGATTTGCAGTTACTCTTCTGAGACAGCATTGGTTTGTGATTAATTCATTGTTTCTGAACTACCATAGAATGGCCCTGTTTTTTTTAATGGTAATGAGATCCTGAGCTCTCAAGTCCACCTGCCAACCCAGCCATACTGCTTTCAAAGGTCTTATAATTATCAGAATCAAAGGTCTTATAATTATCAGAATCTGTTCTCATCAGCCAGGCACAGTGACACATGCCTGTAATCCCAGTGGCTTGTGAGGACGAGGCAAGAAGATCACAAATTCAAAGCCAGCCTCAGCAATTTAGTAAGGCCCTAAGCAACTCAGCGAGACCCTGTCTCTAAATAAAACTATTAAAAAGGGCTGGGGATGTGGCTCAGTGGTCAAGTGCCCCCAGGTCTGATCCCTGCACCCAAAAAAAAAATCTATTCTCATCATTTCTAGATAATGAAAAATGTAAACTTTTAGGGGAAAATGTTTTTTAGTATTCACCCACTCCCCTTCAGTAAGCTAGTTGTAAAGATATTACATGTAAAATACTGGGATCAATCAAAATGTCCATCTAGTAGGCAACTGATTAAATCAATTAGCCAGTCTTTTAAAAAAGAAAAAAATTAAGTGAACCTGAATGTGCTGATGTAGAAAGACATCCATGAAATATGGATGCTTTTAAAGTACATGTAAAAGACTGTACGTACCTTATGATCCCATGAGTGGTTTTAACATGCAAAATATTTATGCTTATAAACTCCTGGAGCGAGGCTGGGATATGGGAATGTGACTTACCTATGTATACCTATTTCTACTGTTTGAATTTTTTTTACTTTGATCAGAAATTGTATAGTTTTTTTTTTTAATAAAAAGTCACAAGTCTGTACATATTTTCTTCCCTTGACAGTACTTTATTAATTTTATCCATGTTTTACTTGTCTGGAATTACAATATAAAGATTTATTAGTTATTATCTATTTAAATAGTATTTTTATCCCATAAGGTATTTATTAACAATTTGATATATCTGAATGCAGCCAGCTTCTGTAATACTCAAGTTCATAGTCCTCATCGTGCTTAGCATTAAGTAAATCAATAGGCAAGCAGAAGCTTTACACTTGTGTACTTAAGACAAAAGCTTTGAGAGTGCTTTAAGTTTCATTTGCAAATATACGGATATAAACCTGTTGCTACAGGAAGTCACAAATCCTTAAACAGAAAAATATGTGTTATCAGGTTTATCCTGATATAAAAATCAACCTTTGAAGAAATATTTTCAGTAGAAAAAGGATGCAATATAAGATGAAAAATGGGAATTCCCAATGGGCTAGAGTAGTAATATAATATAATATGATAGCTAAGAATAATACTTTCATATTGGTGACACAACACAGGTATTATTTCCCCAAAAGGCACATGTCTTTGTTACAGTTTTTCTAAAATCTGTTTCCCTATTAAATTAAGCTATGTGTTCAAAATGTGCACATATTAAAAACCAGGATAGGATTTGTATTTAATGTGCTTTAGACACATCAGATTCTAAATCTCCCTGTCTTCTTTTCCTCTCTTACTAGTCTGAATAAGTAATGATACTTCCTAGAGATCACAGCATTAATTATGAAATATCAACATGCTAAAGAAGAAGAGTAATTTTTAACTGTTTCAGAAGAATTCATAATAAATATATACAAATAGATCTTTTCTATGTAGGTCATCACATCTTTACCTTTTATGTGTTGTGGGAGTGGTTACTCAGGATTAAACCCAGGGATGCTCTACCACTAAGCTACATCCCCATCTTTTTTATTTTTGAGACATGGTCTCAGTAAGTAGCCCAGGTTGGTCTGGAACCCATAGTCCTACCTCAGCCTCCCAAGTAGCTGGGATGACAGGCATGGACTACCACACCCAACACACCATCACTTTTATTAGGAGGTATGTCTCACCAGTGGACCTACCCTTAGGCAGTAAAGTATATCAAAGTAAGCATCCTCAGGATGCTTGCTAATCAAAGAACATGAAACTTATAAGATAGATTTTAAAGTACTATAATGTGTATCAGAAAGTATTATAATGTATATCAGACTAGACTGAGGATAGAGAATTGGATTTGTCTAATTTTTCAAAATTTGTTTTCATTTGCACATAAACCCTTCAAAATGTAGATAAGTGAAAAACTGGAAACCACTCAATGGGGTAGTTGTGACAAGGAACAATGACATTTGATGTACTTAATGAATAAAAATGTCCATGTAAAAAGAACACAAATGGTAATGCACCAATTAAAAAAAATGTGGGGAAAAAAGATGAATGGCAATAAAAATCAAAGCAGGGAAGCCTAGAAAAATATGGCTGGCTCAATTAAATGGCACTAGAATACAATTTAAAGTGCTTAGAGACTCTGAGTTAAACAGTACATGTGAATACAAAAATAATATTAAGGCCATTCATTCATGGAGAAGAAATATCTAAGATATGTTTGGATTGCTCATAGCAGAGAGGTAAGAGATGAATTTCAGTTCGAGGAAGATGACCACAAGAATGCTGACTAGTGTTAGGGCAATATGCCTCAAGCTAACCCACCATAACCCTAACATCTGGATTCACATCTGCTTAGAGTGAAAAAGTTAATGTTTTTTTTTCTTAAGTTTCTTTTTCTTATGGGGAATTTTTGTGCTTTGTGCCCCCAAATCATACATTCACATACTTTATACATACATATACATTGTGTACACATTTCCCCTTGATTGATTTTGATAGAGATCGCTTATATTTGCTATTACTCTCCAAATCTACAAAATGAGTAGATTGTTTGGTGTCCTAATATGTAAGCATAAATATGCAACAGAAACAATATATTATCAAAAAACATTAGCCTATTTTCAGCTTTCAAATGTACCTATCTGTATTAGGCAGTGATATTTTAGGAAATCATTTTCTCCCTTAGATTTTAAAAGTGCTTTTAAAAATATTTAGGCTGGGGATGTAGCTCAGTGGTTAAGCGCCCCTGGGTTCAATCCCTGGTACCAAAAATAATAATAAAAAAAATATTTATCCTACTTGTGTTGGAGGTAGGAGAAAATTATCCTCTTGTCACATGTGAGGAAACTGAGGCACAGTGAGCATAGGTGATTTGTTTCAGGTTACACAGAAAATTCAATGATGAAATGAGGATTAACATTCAGATTTAGTGGCAATTTTTGGCATGCATACATATGTGCAAATTATAGAGCACTGTGAGTTTTTATATTTGGTGTAGAATACCTATTCTTTTATATGGATAAAGTTTATTTCACTATCTACAGATAAGGAACACAGAACAGGCCTCAACTAGTACCTCACTCCTTTAAGAAGGTTCAGAACAATCAAGTGAATACAGTGCCTTATTTAAGACTAAAACTCAGGTCAGCCAACAACCAGAAATCTCTGTTTACCACTGGTATGCCACACTGCCTTAATAAAAGGTACAGTTACGCTTACAAGTCATTTAATATAAAAATATATGACATCTGAATCATGTAAAACAAAGTACTTATAAAATAAATCTTACTGATACATTAGAGTTAGAACGAAGAGGGGGGGATGTATATAGAGAAAGTAAAATTTAAATCAAAGTGTTATGGCCTATTCACATTTAAGATCTGCATTTATCTCATCTGTAAAATATTCACTGTAGCTATATTTGTGCTTAGTAGAAGGTCTGACTTTTATATTAAAAATAGAAATTTTCATAAATCATTTCTCATATCCCTTCCTCTGCCCTAGTAAGAGCTTTTAATTTGGAGATTGTAGAGGTGCAGTAAAATATACCTCTTTTAAAAATTTAAGTTCATGGTGGTTATAGCTTCACAAGAAATTTAAGATCATATATATCTTGCCACAATCAATTTTAGAAATCTTTTAAAATGATAACTTGTCCCAAATCCTGTATTTGTATGCTTAATAAATCACTTTAACATTTGACATATAAGCTAGTCTTGATAGAACAAGAACTGCTATGTTTTTAAGCATGTGGGAATCGATTTTATCAATTATTACCATGTGAATATTAGAAAGATATGAGTGTCTGTATTCCCAGCAGCTCAGGAGGCTGAGGCAGGAGGATCTTGAGTTCAAAGCCAGCCTCAGCAACAGCAAGGCGCTAAGTAACTCAGTGAGACCTGTCTCTAAATAAAAATACAAAATAGGGTTGAGGATGTGAATCAGTGGTTGAGTGCCCCCAAGTTCAATCCCTGGTACGGGGGGGGGGGGGGGGGAGAAAAAGATATGAGGGTATGTATACAGGCGTCTAAAAAAATCTAGATAACTATAAAACCTTGATTCACCTTGTAGAGGTCCTGAAAAAATTAAAAAACAAATGGATCAAGTTTTTCATTATCTCAGAAAATTCTACCACCGCTAAAGTATAATGCTTTAGTAAATAATTTCTATTGCATTGCTTATACCATTAATATAAGATTTTTAAATCCACATTGTCAACTCATTATTTAAATGACTCACTCCTGAACGTTTCTTTTATATAAGCTAGTCATCATAGCAAGTTATTACACAAAACATAAAACACACTTGCAGAAGTGTAAATATCATAATATTCATGACTTGCTTAGTCTTGTCATTTGACTTCAAATTTACATCAAATGATGCTTTTTTCATCAAAAGCTCCTGTGCTCATATTCAAAGTTTTCATCCTCGTTATATAAGTATCTTGATTCTCCATGCTTCAAGACAAAAAAATCTTCAGTCTTAAGTCCATATCTTTCTAGAGCTTCACTCAGTTTCACTGGAGGCTCTAAGTAATGCTGGCAAAGGGCAGAATGAAGAAAAAGAAATTAATAACACATGGTTGGGTGATATTTCAAATTAAACTTCAAACTGAAGTAACCAACAAATCCTTCATAAAACAATTCCCTTTTTAATTGAATTATTAGCAAATGAGTCAATCGTATTTGTTAATACAGTCTGAGTCATTATGATATCAACAGAAATGTCTACTAATAGATAGAAAGTAATATATCTAAACAACTGTATATCAAATGTGGTGCCACCTTAGACTGAACACCAATAAGATTATATGAAGTCTGATTTGTTAAAATTTCAATCTATTGTGGAATCTGCTAAAAATGGCATAGAGAATTGAATGTTAACGTTTTTGAAGCATATAAAAATCTGTGTGTGTGAGAGAGAGAGAATGCTAGAGCAAATATTTTTGGCTGGAGAAGGGCTGATGGAATCAAAACCTCTAGCCACATCTAGAAACTAATCTGCAGACTGAAAAAGGACCCCCAGAGAAGAGATACTATGGGTAAGTTTCCCTAGGTCCCTTGATTTCCTCAATTTTTCATAGCTCAATAAAAAGGGAAGACGGCACACAGTATGTTCCAGAATGTTTTCACCCAAATATTTTCCAAATAAGGTGAGTCCACTGAATATTGAATAAAATAGTTATTTATAAATAAATTTAAAAGTATAAAGCTAAATCATGTCATTAGTTTTTGGTGGTGTTTTGTTTGTTTGTTTATTGTAGTATCAGGGATTGAATCCAGAGGTACTCTACCACAGGATCTTGCTCAATTGCCCAAGCCAAATTTGCAAATCTTCTGTCTCAGCCTCCCAAATCACTGGGATTGCAGGCATGTTCCATCACTGTGCCCAGCTGGTTATTTCTCATTTCTAAGTCTCTACATCGCATAATAGCTATTTTTTCCTTCATTGTAAGGCTTTCCCCCCAACCACCAGACCCCTATTAACTTCAATTAGAAAAGGTGTGAAAAAAGGAGTATCATGATCTGATTCAAGTTCTAAAGGTCACTGCCCTCTATAGTGTTAAGCAGATGTAAGGGGCAGAGTGGTAGCAATGAAGGAGGTAACAAGTGGTCAAATTCTGAGTACAGTCTAACGTTAAGTTGATTGCATGTAGGCAGGGTGGGGAGGGGGTACCAGGAAAAGGATATGAGAAAGAGACGTTAAGATTTTAGCCTAAATAACTGGGCAGACAGAGTTGCCATTTACTGAGATATAAAAGAAGTTTGAAGGAAGATCAGAAAGTTTGGTTTCAGACACCTAATGGATATCCAAGGGGGAGATGTCAAGAGACAACTATAGATATATAAATGTGGATGATGGTGGAGGAAGGAGGGATATGAGCTAGAGAGGCACAGCAGGTAGATGGTACTTAAAGCTACAAGGCTGGATGAGATCCTTAAAGGAGGAAACAATTGGAAAAGAAGAGGTCCAAGGACTAATACCAGCAGCCCTCAATGTTTAGGGGGAGGGAGATGAGAAGCTAAGAGAGACTAAGAAGGGACAGCCAGTGACAAACAAGGAAAGCCACAAAACATTTCTTGAGGCTTAAAATGCATATGCAATAGTCCCCCCTTGCTCACTTGTTCATATATGACTCTTTTTAAAGGGTTACGAATATCTTTCCACTGACTACTGAAGATAACCAATTAATGGATGGCCCAAAACAGGAACCTACTTTTAGTCTATTTTATACATATAGAAAGGAGATCACTAATATATTGCCAATAGAATTTAACTAAATAATAACCTAAGAAATTTCCCTTGCAATTTTTTAGAAAATATTTCAAAATGATAGAATTCTTTCATTGAAAAATAACTACTTTTGTTAAAATTCTTTTCACCCCAACAATACATATACACCATCACTTTACACTGATAATTTATTTATCAAGCTATATATAACTTTAGTGTGGTGCATGATGTAGTATGTAGATTTAGTGTGGATTTTGATGTTTTAGCTGGGAGTAGATCCTTTGCCTTTAATCTGCCTAGATTTAGCAATATTGTTCTGAGTTTTTTCATAGGTTAATTTTCTTATCTATTTCAACCATCTAGAAGATAACCCTGGAATTAGGTAAAAAAAGCCTTCTGAGTAACTGATAACAATCTCCTGATCCAAGCACTTTAGGCCACAAAGGAGATAAAAATGCCCTACAGCCATAGGAGCAAACAGCTAGAGAAGCAAGGTGGTAAATCAGAGATCAGTGAGATTGTGGGGAAAGCTGAGTTCCCAGCATTCTGGATTTGATAAAGGAAAGGCAAGCAGTCCTGGACAACAACTAAGTTCTAAAAGGGATCCCTATTTTAGAATCTTCTACAATCAAGACCCTGGTCAATTAGATAGCTAACTTACATATTATATAATGCTTGAAGTCTGTTTCCATCAAAACTAATGATTTAATGTTTTGAGGTTTAAACACATGTTCTAGGAAATCCACATACCATATTTTAGGTAAACTGGATGTTGCTATATATGAAATTTTTGAATCTCAAAGTGTTCAGAAGTTTAAGCTAAACTTCTTGGAAAATCTCATCTACTTTATAATTTAATAAACTCATGTTTGTCTAGTGTTATTCAACTAACATCAAAATGTGAATAACTTTCTTTTTTTTAGGATTTAAATCTTTTTTTTCCCATATCTTTATTTATTTTTATGTGGTGCTGAGGATCGAATCCAGTGCCTCACATGTGCAAGGCAAGTTCTCTGCCCTTGAGCCACAGCCCCAGCCCTAAATGTGAACAACTTTCAAAGGATTAAAAGCTATGAGTTTTTATTATATGTTTCATTAATAAATAAAGATGGAGGTTAGATTTATAACAGGAATAACACATGAAGGCTGAATAACACAATAATTCTTTTTTTCTTCTTATTCTCAGTACTGGGGTGCTGAACCCAAGGGTGCTATACCACCGAGCTATATCCAACACTTTTGGTGGGTACTAGGGATTTAACCCAGGGGCACTTAATAACTGAGCCACATCCCAGCCCTTTTTGCTTTTTGAGATTGGGTCTCACTAAGTTGCTTAGGACCTCACAAAATTGCTAAGGATAGCCTTGAACTTGGAATCCTCAAGCCTTAATGGAATTACAGGTATGCACCACCACACCCAGTCCGGATACTTTTTATTTACTGAGACAGAGTCTCACTAAGTTGCTGAGGCTGGCCTCAAACTCCTGCGTCAGTCTCTGGAGTCTCTGGGTTCACAGACATACGCCACCACACCCAACTGTGCCAATCACAGATATGTGAGTAACACAATAATTCTCAGACTGAGGTTTTGATCCTCTTCTTATCTTGCCCATGTATCAATGAAGATCACAACTGCCTACCCAATCACTCAAGCTAAAAGTCTAGGAGTTAATCTTGATTAATTTCTTTGCCCAGGTTTAATAAAATACTATAACTTCATCTAAGACACTGATACCTATTATAAATGGTATATGAAACTTCTCTCTCTTCCTTCCTCATTCATTCATCCTCTGTACCCCACAAAGTTATTCATTTATTCACTCATTCTATTCCATCCCCTGACAGCATGGCTAAGAGTAGCTACATCATGACTCAGGATTGGGAATTCTGATTGAGGGGGTGGGAAACAAGCAATCAAGGTACTAGGAAATTTTGAAACAAGATGTGTCCAGGAAGAAGGCTGGCCAGAAATGGTACTGGGGAGAGCCAAAACCAGCAAGAAAACTGTGGGTTCCTACAGAGAGGCCCGAGGATATGGAAGATGCCACAGAAAGTAAACAGAAGCCACATTCCATCCATCCCTTTCTAAAGTTTCCTTAGGGCAGGCTTGGATCCAGAAAAGAAGATAAAGTTTTAAGCTATCCCTTCCTTGATCCCAGAATCCATGTTAACAGCAGAGTTCTAGGGTTCAGCTCCCTTAAGGAAAAAAATCAGCTCTTGTGGTTTAGTGTAGGAAAAAAAACAGTTACCCCAACGCCTAGTACACAGCAGACAGTAAACCAAATATGACAACATATTTCTAGAAGGTTCCACAATGTCAGTCTAGCCTTACTTCTCCCATTGCCCTTCGTGCCATCTCCTGTCCTGCTTAAAGGTTCCTCACCATTCCCTGTACTTGTGCCTCCAGGCCTATGCTATGCCCTTGATCTCCCTCTGGAAATAACTTCCTCATGCCTTTTCATAAGCAAGTTCAAATGTCATTTTTCCATGCTATTCTGATTATTGAGGATCACCCATGATTTTCTGAGACCAATGAATCTGTCCCACATTACAGCCATTTCCCCTTCCAATATCTGTATCACATATACATCTTCTATATTCCACAGGAATGGAAGCTGCCTTGAGGGGGGGAGACATGATGCTTCATTTTTCTACTCCCCACTCTATGTACACAGATTTTTGGTTATACAAACACATGCTTCGTTAACTACAATGAGTAGTAGTCCAAAAAAATAACTTGCAACAAGGGTTTTTCACTGTATGTGAATATTGTTTTACTGATTAATAAGGTTTAACACCCTAATTCAAGTCATGATTGTGAGGACTGCAAAGGGTCTGACTCCACAGTCTGTTTCTGAAAGCATTGCTAGGAGACAGTGATGCCTGAATCCCATCAGTGGTCACACACATCATCAAAGTTATTTTTATCATGATCAAACTCACCTCATTTGCTAAGGCAAAAGTTCCCCAGTGAATTGCCACAGATTTCTTTGTTTGAACATCGATGTGAATCCTGACAGCTTCTTCTGGGTCTACATGCTGGTATTTCATAAACCACCTGATAAAACACAGCAATTTATTAATTCTGGTCTTCAAATACACTCTGGATTCTAATTTTTGCTTTATCTAATCAGACTTTAAGACTCCACACAGACTTGTGGGTTGTTTGAGAAATAAGAATCATCTCATTTTGGATATTTTGACTTTGCCTCCCTATTCTTCACTTGATTTTTAATTAGTACACCTAAGAATTGGGCTAAACTGCCAAAAGAATCAGCAACATACACTAGTGGTACCTCAACCACTTTTCAGGCCCTGGACTTACATAGAGAACTTTAAATAAGTAGTGCTACTCAGCCTGGGCCCTCAGTGCTTCTGTTTTAATTGTTCTGGGTTGGGACATGAGCATCATAAAACTGAACATTGAGGTGTTTGGTTTCATAAGAAGGGAGGCCTGCATAATGGACGAATGATTCGAGATAATGCAGAAGCACTGAAAGGTTGCAAAGAACAAGGACCCAGGCAGGAGGAAGGCCTGGCTGTGAATTCCAGCTCTTGCAGTTCCTGGAAGGCCTTTAGAAGGTCCCTTCTAATTCTCTGAACTTCCATTTCCTTGTTTGTTAAGTATAAATTTAGACCTATTCCGGGTAAAGGTTATTACAAGGATTAACAAAAACAATGTTTATAAAAGCATGAAGCATACTAGCTATTCCATAAAATTCTCCCAGAAAAGTACAGTTGACAAAAATCAACACTTTCAGGAAAAAAAATTACTATATTAGGAAAAAAATATTATCTACAAGCAAACCTTTCACTTTTCAAGCCATCAATTTGGTGGAGGAATAACAACGCTATCTACCTGATCCACCAGGGCCTACTAATGCTACCAAAAAACTAATGAGCCTGGATTCAGCACAGGTGCTTCTGCAGTTCAAGGAACATCATGTAGGAATCCATCCATCTGTAATAGCCAAAGGGTGTTATTTACCGCCAGCAGTTGCTGGGTCCTAAGAGAGCCCAAAAACAAAGCCACTGTGTTCTTCCCAACAGAAGATTACAGAAGCACTGTTCTGCCATATCTCCTGGCACAGAATTCAGGGCAAGATGAAAACAGTTTTGGGGGGTGCGTCTTTATTGATTTTTTGAAAGATCCTACTGCAAATGAAAGGGATAGAAATTCCTTTCTATTCTCAGGTCTATCTGAAATAAGTTTAAATTTTTGACTATGATGAAACAATTAAAATTTTAAATCCCAACGGACTTGGTGACAAGAGATCTCAAAAGTAAGGATGAAGCATTCCCAGTCAAAAATGACTGAAAGTCGTTTTTGTAATCATATCACGTTTGTAGAGCACTCTCAAGTTTGTTGAATGGATACTTTATTTCTGAAACTGTTAGTACTGATCAGAGAAATGAACTACCCAGAATAGGCTGCCACATTTAACTCTCTACAGCAAATAACATCTTCCCTGCCCTTCTCCTGTCTTAGAAATAAACATGGCCCAATGCAAGCAGGAAGGAAGAAGTAGGTAAATGTGTATATGGTTTGGTTTATCAACACAAGCACATATCTAATATGTACATTGCTACTTATGAAGACTTACTCTCATAATTACAAATTAGAAATATTCAGTTATTTTAACAACATGTACTGAGTAAAGATCATTATCATACAAAATTGATTAAACCAGGCTGGGGCTGTAGCTCAGTAGCAGAGTGCTTGCCTAGTATATGTGAGGCACTTGGTCCAATCCTCAGCACCACATAAAAATAAATAAAGGCATGCTCTCCATCAACAACTATTTTAAAAAATTTTTTAAATTGATTAGAACAGTTCTTAAAAAACACAGGTTGATATTTTCAGAGGCTTCATTATAACTAGAATTATTTAAGTGGAGAAGTGAAATTCAAGCACTAATATTGATTTATGATAATTTTAATAATTATCAGGCACTAAAACATTAAAATATCTAGCCTCCAAATTAAGTAAACTAGCAAAAAAAACCATAAAAGGGAAAAATAAATGTTAATAAGTATAGGGAAAAATGGAGTTAGTGAACTTAAATGGTTAACAAATAAGTACAATAAAACCAGATGGAAACAAAAGATAAGATTCATATATTCCATCTATGTGTTAGAGAAACACTAGGTGTTCTATTTTGTTGGATCACCTAAATAAAATGCAGTTGTACCCATGTATGCAAGCACTGTAAAATGCAAAAAAAATCATTTTTTAAATAAAAAAAATTTAAATTAGCCCTTACTTTGTTACTATCAGTATTTGTTTTCTCTTTACTACACATAAAATCAGAATTGACTGAAATCTAACTGAATTCTCTGAAATCACTTCTCTTTTCCCTAAACATACAGTGTTAAGGAAAATGCAGATGTTCTCCTAGGTCTCCAGCCATATGTGGCCGAGAGCTGCTCTGGAAGTAAGTGATGAGGACACAGTGGCTGAAGGGTGAGCGGAGAGCAGTTTGACGTCATGACCACACACACTTTAGCACAGACTCAAAGGCTGAAATGCCACAGGCCAGCTCTGGCTTTCTCTCTGCTCCACTCAGGAGAGCTACAGGACAAGGGATTGGTGTGTTCCAATCATGGAGAGAAAAGTAATTATACAAAGAAAGAATATTCCATGTGAAAGAAAGAACAAGAGTTAGGTTTGATTGCTGGCTTACAAGTTTAACTTTAGTTGGAATGGTACATGAACTTCCATGAGGTATGTTATTTCTTTACGCCCTGGTCCTTCTTGATTTGGAATAATTACATAAAGGCTATCCTATGATTAAAATATTTGAAATTTAATAATATCTAACTGAATTTGACCCACAAAGCCCCATCAATGTATAACAAAGCTCACCATTACATAGTTTCACAAAAATCATATCCTTTAAATTTCTAAACTTATCGTGCAGCCGAAGTGTTTTCTTTGGAAATTTACAAACCTTGGTTCATAAGCTCCGATGGGAATAGCAGCAAGGTCAAAAGGTCCAAACCTTTTTCCTATCTCTTCAAAAGCAGGGCAGTAACCAGTATCTCCAGCAAAAAAAAATCGATTCCAAGGCCCCAAGACAGACCAGCTTCCCCAGAGAACCTTGTTGTCATCCATTAGGGTCCTTTTACACCAGTGCTGGGAAGGTGTAAAGACAAAGGTGACCTTGTCGTGGCCAGGGACACAATTCTCCTCCCACCAGTCCAGCTCAATCACGTTCTCACAGCCACATTTTTGCATCCAGTCGAGGAGACCCAAAGGCACAAACCATCTCAACTCATTACCAAATCGCTCATTCAAAGCAATGACAGAACTGTAGTCCAGGTGGTCATAGTGGTTGTGGCTGATAAGGACTGCATCTATTCGGGGGAGTTCATTTATTGTGCATGGGGGACAACGGAATCGCTTTGGACCCATGTACTGCGATGGAGAAGCACGAGAGCTGAAGATAGGATCTGTGAGAAATATGAGTTCGTCCATTTCCACCATCAGCGTGGCGTGTCCCAGCCATGTGACCCTTAAGCCAGCTTCCCTCACTCCAGCTTCTCCAGGGTCATTGACAAAATATGGTTTAAGCACTGGGAGTTCTTTGTCAAGTTCCTGTGTATACAAAGAAACACAAAGCAGCAGTGAGAAAAAGAAAGGTATTATATCACCCCAGCCCAGAAGGTCTATTTTGGAACAACTGACATTTTCAATTAATGAATTTGCTATTTTTGCTTTTCTCTTGAAAATGCATATTTAACTTCTTTTTTTGATCAGAATAATATATTCAGATTATTATCTTCTTAGTCCTAAATGCAACAGGCAAAGGTAAAATTAAACTTAAAATTTTTAATACAGCTAAATTAAGTTATTTTAGAGGCTTTCTTTTGAATCCCGGAAGCATACTGGCTGGGATGCAATTATTTTGCTTCACTCAGTTGATGTACTTGGTGCTGAAAACGGCCTCAGAAGCAGGTCTGGGTCTAAAATAGTAAAGAAAGCTGATGACGACTTATTTGTAGCTCTTGGATGGCAGATACAAACCCGACTTTTTGAGCTCATATAATTCAGTGTGGAGCACCGTGATGATTCCTGGACAAATCTCATTCATCAATGTTCTTCCTTTCCTTACCCACTGATCAAACCTTAGAGAAATATGATCACTGCCTATGACAAGATGACTGTTTGGCAAGGGGTGTAAATAAATATACATCAAAAGTGTGGTAAGTATTGTTCCTTTGGCTACATGACATTTTATATTTAGATTAAGACTGACCAACAAAAACCTGTGGCCTAGCATCAGTCCTGGCTTTTATAAAACTGCTTTTACTGAACTGTGACCTCGTGTCCTGCCATACAGAAGCATCGAGGTCTCTGGGAAGCTGCCTCTTGGATCCTGCCATGCATGCTGAAGACTTGTGCCACCTCCAGAAACATCTCAATTCTCAGCAACCGGAAAAGCTCTTCTCTAGAGCAACTGCCTTTCTCATTTGACGGTCCCTGGGAGAAGTAACAATTCATGCTTCTTTCCCCTTTGCTGTGACCAGGAAGTTGAGAGCAAAATCTGAAGGGCATGATGGAATGTAGTTCCACACTTTTTCTTGGCTTTATTTTTCTACCCTAGTAGTCTATTTGCTCTTATATGCTCATTCATTTTTCACTGCTACGTGCATTTTTATAAGTTTGCCTCAAATCAGTTTTGAAAACTGTGGTGTGAGATAAGTAATTAAATAAAAAATGATGCACTGTAGCCTAAGAAGAAGGAATAAAGAGCCCACTTGCAAGTGGCATCACAGATGCAGTGATCTGTGTGAGTGCTGAAGAATGATGAGAAATTCATGATGGAGAGAAAAGGAAGACGCTACCCATGCAAAGACACAGAGCCAAACAGGAACATGGTGTCTGGGGGCAGGGAACAAACCAAATCTATCTAAGGGATAAGAATACACTAAGAGCCTCCCCCACTCCACCTACAGACAATGAAGAAGCATCTTTTTATACATGCAGACACAAAGACATGACCTCATTTATGTTTCAGCAATGTAGAGTCTAATGATGACCTGAAAAGTATCCCAACATTGTCATGTTTTGAGGAGATGAAGACCTAATAAAAGAGACAGCAGTGGGCTTGGACAAGAGAGCAGATGGGAGATGCTGGTGAAGGAAAACTGAGAAATTACCAGAACCAACTAAATGGAAGAGAAGCAGCAGCACAGGAGGAAGACATTAAAAGATTTCTCTTAGCCAGTCCAAGTCTTAGTCTCCTCAATGCAAAACAGGTATAATAACTGAACACACAAAGACCTGAATTAGCAGTGGCTGGCATACCATAAGTGCTAAAAGCAAGCAAGCCTAAACTCTGATAACCAGTCACCACCCATCTTATCAGTCTCTTGAATTTCTGCAAAGCCACAACCTACTTATGATCTTAAGTAACATCCAGACACTTCAAAGCTCTCTCGATTATTCAACTGTTTTCCTATGCACTCAGTCCACACACAAGAGCCAAACAGTCCTCAAAAAGTCTACTCAAGGCACAACGCTTCTGCTGCCAAAACATCTTCCCTGGCTCTCCACCTGACAAAGCCCATCCCACCTCCTGAGCCCAGCAGTGCCCAGGCCAGCTCATCAGCTGATCCACACTATTCCTCTGCATATACTGTGTCCCACCTACACAGAACCACTCACCACTCTTGGACTGAGTTTAAGAACCCTGTGTGGTACTGATTCCATTTCTCTGGTTAAGTTTTCTTCCCCTCTCATCCCTTTGAAATCATAATCAAATTGCATATCCTTCGTGAGACCATTCCTGGGTCTCAGATCCTGGAAGCACTCATTCCTGCCTCTTAACATCCATGCCTCTCTGTCCACACATTTCCTCTGGATGTTTTTGTTATATGTAGACAAGATTCATCCCATCTCTTATGCAGCTTGAAATCATTCACAGTGCCTGTTTGGTGATTTCCACATAGCATATACTCAATAAAATTTGTTGGATGAATGAATGTCAATTTTTCAATCAGTTTTCAAATCTGGTAAATAGAATAACAAATGCCATATTTATCAAGAACTGAGGAGATGGAGAAATGACTAAAAGTTGAGGGCCTACCAAAAGTTAGGCATCATACCAGTCCTGGAACCATGATGAGGATGAAGTATCTAATATATCAAATACATCAGTGTAAAGTAACATTAACAGCAGCTACCATTTAGGGAGTTTCTATGTGCTCAATACTATAGTATTTGCTTCATAATTTTTTTTTAATTTAATACTGACCAAGCAAAACCCTAGAAGTAAGTATTGTGAATTGTCTCCTTTTTTTCTTTCCCTGTACCAGGGATTGAACCCAAGGGTGCTCAACAACTGAGCCTCATCTCCAGCCCTTTTTAAATTTTTTACTCTTGAGACAGAGTCTTGCTAAGTTGCTTAGGGCCTTACTAAGACACTGAAGCTGGCCTTCAGTTTGTGATCCTCCTGCCTCAGCCTCCTGAGCCACTGGGATTACAGGCCTGCGCCATCACAGCCAACTGAAATGACTCCATTTTTACAGAAGAGAAGAACAACTAGTTAAAAGCACTCGCACAAGATCTCCCTACTGGTCTCCATGTTTACTGCCTCCCTCCACCATACTTTCACACTTGATCTCACTTAACACAGTCTATTTTTGTTTGTTTATTTTAAAAGTAACAGGGATCAAGTGGGGAGAATAAGTGGAGATGGAGTACAAAAGATCAAAAGAAAACACTTGGGGATAATAGATATGTTCCTTATCTTAATTGTGGTGATCCCTCATCCCCAAGTGCTCTAGGTATTTGTATATGTGTGTGTACATACATACGTACATAAGCACACTCACATATGTATGTCAAAACTGATCAAATTATACATTTTAAATATGTGCAGCCAAGATTATGTTAATAAAACTATTTAAAATGTTTTAAGTAACACTATCTTTAAACAGTACATTAAAATCTCCTATAACAAAATACCCTGAAAACTGGGGGGTTTTTTTCTGCTCTAAGTTTAAAAGCCATCTGAAGTTTAATATTTGGCATCATCTGACTATTCAGGAGGATACAAAGCTTCAATAGAGCAAAGCTGGTAGCTTTGACTTACTGCCTAAAGGTATTAAAGTGATTTTAAAAAGTATTAAAAGATAAAATGCTAAATAAAGCCAGTCACAAAGGCCCACATGCTGGATGATTCCATGTATGTGTCATATCCAGAACAAGCAAGTCCAGAGAGACAGAAAATAGATCAGTTGTTCCCAGGGCACAAGGGAGGGTAAGGGAACTGGACAGGGATGACTCAGGGCATGGGTTTCTTTTAGGGTTGACAATAGGTTTCCTTGGGAGATAAATAAAAATTATGGTGATTATTGCACAACTCTGTGAATATACTAAAAACCACTGAATTGTGGATTTTAAATGGGTTGATTACATGGTATGTGAGTTATATCTCAACAAAGCTATTTCAAAAGGAGGTAAAGAGGCGACAGGAGAGCTGAACTAACAGGCACGCTTTTCTTCATGTTCCTTCCTTCATGGTGTGTAGTTTCTAGTCCCATCACATAAGAGTAACTTATTTTTAAGAACTTGCTCTCTAGCACTACTATCATATAAGACTCAAAGACATGGAATCTATGTTGAGATTCCAAAGGAAAAAAAAATATCATCTTTTACTTTCTACCCTAATCACTAGAGTTTGAAAAAGCATGTGGAAAAGGGATTGGGTTGTAGAAAGGGTGCTGGAAGACCACCGAGGGTCTTTTCCTCAGGAAAACTACATTGGGAAGTCACAGAAAGCAATAAAATAGTAATCACAAATACTCAGGAAGTCAAGCAGTTGAAAAAAAGAGGTAAAAAGCATATAAGACAGGAGACATGGCCAAAGTTTACATTATTTTCATCAATGAAAAATATCAATACAATGACAAAAATGTTACCAGTGAAATCAGAAAGATAATTAGAGTTAATGATGTTATATTGTAGAAATCAAAATAACTAGAGAGGAGGATTTTGAATGTTTTCATCACAAAGAATTGATAAATGTTTGCTAGGATGGATAACCTACATATTCTGAAACATCACACTGTATTCTATAAAGATGAACAAGCATTATCTATCAAAAACAAAAAAATAGAGTTAGGCCTAAAGTCCCAAATAGTCAAGAAGCTGAAGCAAAAGGATCGCTTTAGCTCAGGAGTTTGAGGCAAGCCTGGGCAATATGGCAAGATCTCTCTTTTAAAAAAAAATAGAATATATCTATGGTAGCAGAAGAGATGGAGTTACTCTGATAATTCAGGGTAGAAGTCAGTATTAGCAAATGCCAAGAAAAGGCATATATTCTTTTTTCTTTGAAACAAGAAGGTAAACTCCAGAGGAAACAATTTAAAAGCACTGAAAACTGTTGCCTTTGAGGAGCAGAACTGGTGGCAGGGGCTAGTTAGAGGACTGACATTTTCCGTATAAGCCTTTCAGTACCTTTCAGTACTAGTTTTTTAAAAACTATACGTACTTTTTTTTTGCTAAAAATTAAAAAGCATCTGTACATGTATACCTATAGTATAATTTGAATATTACCTTTTTTTCAAAGGGCATCCTATTCCTCAATGTCATACATCTAAGAATTCATTATATTTTCAAAATAATTTCATGTATCATGTGAACCTCAAAACAAGACTAGTGACCCACTCTAGTTTATTGTCACTTTATAGGAAAAAAAGATGAAGTTTGTGTTGGTCAGCTTTCCATTACTGTAACAAATATCTGAGCTAAATCAACTCGTAGTTTGGGATTTTCAGTCCATGATTTAATAGCCCAAATTTTTATGGGCCTGTGGCAAGGCAACACACCATGGTAGGGAATACTCCACAAAAATCCCTCACCTCCTGGCTGGAAAGAGAAAAAAAAGAAAGAAGAGACCAGGGTCCTACAATCCCCTTTGTGAGCATGCTCCCAATGACTGGACCCCATTGTGCTAGGCTCCACCTCTTAAAGATTCCACTACTGCTAAGCATGGTGGAGCACATCTATAATCCCAGCTACCCAGGAGGCTGAGGCAGGATGATCGCAAGTTCAAGGCTACCATGAGCAACTATGGGAGAACCTATCTCAAAATAAGATTTTTTTTAATATATATTTTTTTAGTTGTAGTTGGACACAATACCTTTGTTTTGTTTTTATTTTTTTATGTAGTGCTCGCATGCTAAGTGAGTGCTCTACCACTGAGCCACGACCCTAGTTCCTCAAAATAAGATTTTTTAAAGGGCTAGTGATGTAGCTCAGAGGTAGAGTGCTTCCTTTGCACCAGGCCTTGGATTCAATCTCCAACAGCAACAAAAATGTTGGATCCACCACCTCCCAATAGTGCCAAGCTGGAGACAAAGTCTTTAATATGTGGGACTTGGAGAGACATTTAAGAGACAAACTATCACAGAATTCCTTGAGGGACTGTGATATAAATAAGGTCACACACTCAGTAAGACTCCTAAACCTACCCCAGGTTCCTGAACTCCTGATGCTGTGGCAGCCTGTTCTGGGTTTCTCAGACTCCAATCAGATGTCCTGTGTTTACTTCTGTAGTAGTAACCAATTAGGCCAGCTTCCTTCAACTAATGAAACCCAGGAAATGCCTGCCTCCCTCCCACTTTGAAATTCTCCAATAGTCTCATTTCCCCACACTATCAGTGACTGTGATCAACAATAAAAATCAGACAAGGTCACTGAGCCAACAATAGCACAAAGCAATGAAAGCATCTGAACAGTGTCCAGCTGTGAACTGGCAATGCTGTGCTAAACCACCAGCAGAGACAAATATCAGGAACGGCCCAAGGAAAGAGACCCTGCTTCTCACCAGGCAACTAAATTACGCAGCTCTGCTTATGACCCACTTTCATTTTATTTAGACCTATCAGTTAATGTACACTTTAATTATATGCTTCTTCCAAAACATTTTCATATTTATATAACTAAATAAACAAACAATAGAGGATGATAAAATCGCATGGTATATAATTATCCCATATACATCATATTATTCTCTTTACAAAAATTTTTTTTTTTAGTTATGGTTTACTTACTAAATGCTAGCTTCCAAATTTCTAACAAAAAAAAAAAAATCTAGAAATCTGAATTCTGGAGTCTACCCAACCATATGAAGCAGGTCTTCTACACACACTTCTTCATGTTTATTTTCTGGAAAACGCAGAGCTCTCTCACATTTGGGAGCCAGCAAAAGTTAATCATCTCAGCAATTTATTTAAAGAGTTTAAACAAAGAGTTATGGTTATTCCGGAAATATGAGAGGTCAACATGAATTTGACCTAGTTCTGGGCTTTGACTGAAAACAAGGAGGAAAAAAGACAGAAATAAAAAGAGATCAGAAACAAAAATAAGTTGAAATAGTGCAAAAGTGTTTTTTCTCTCTTATATGACACCTAATTTGTTTTTAAGGTGCACACTTAGAGACATGAAGCCTCCTTTGGCATTTTTTTTTAAATATCCTGACTTAAAGACCAAAGAATAAACCTTTTACATCATTAAAGAATGCAACTCTAACTTCCTTCTGTTTTGTTATTCTCCATTGAACTTACCATGTTTCAATATACCACACAATTTACTTATATATTTGTTTATCATCTATTTCACTAAACTTAAGGTCCAAGAAAGCCAGCATGTCTTTCTGCTTTGTCTGTGGCTCTGTTTCTAACACATAATACAAGGTGCCCAGCACATAGCTGCTGCTCAGTAAAGCTAGCTAAATAAATGAGTAAATGAATGGGCTTGACAAGGCCTATAAAAACTGTAAAATTACACAAACAGGCAATGTGCTAATAATGTATACGTATTTATTTTTCTAAGAAGATGGTCCATGGCTTTCATCAGCTTCTCAAAAAAAGCCAGCATCCAAAAGAGCTCAAGAACCACTGGCTCGGTGAGTCCTCAAGATTCAACCAAGTTTCTCAAATACTTCTTAAATCATTAGGATAGAGAGAGAGATTTCATCTTCATGCGGTCATTTGCTCTTTGAAATAAAACAAAACGGAAAGTACTATTATTAGAAGCTGTGGCTCAAAAGCCAGGAAAAATTACCCCACAATGCATAGCTTATATGTCCTGATCCTCTGCCCTAATCTTCTTCACAGCTTGATTCCATGTTCTCTCTTAGATAGGGTTTACCTCGGGGGAGAAAAATCTTACTTGTTCCTTTTTCCCAACCTCAAAGCAGAAAATGAGCTTTCATGTCTAATTCTAATAAGATGCTAAAACACAATATTTTTAGGCTGGGGACTTATAGTTCAGTGGCACAGCACTTGCATAGCAGGTAAAGTCTCTGGGTTCCATTCCTAGCAACACAGGAATGGAACGCGTGCACGTGTGTGTGTGTGTGTGTGTGTGTGTGTACGTGTGTGTGTGTGTGTTATGTGCACACAAGCACATGTTTATCTCTATCTATCTAGGATAGATAGATATAGATATGCAGGGAGGAGGCATTGGGAGGCATGCAGAAAACTTAAGCAAGGAGAAAGGAGAAAAATATGCTACTATACCTGAGAACCACCAACCGCTGCCATTCATACTTTATGAATAAAGTATATCCTACTCATCTAATAATCTCTATGCTAAATGTTAATAAATTTCATCCTAAGTAAGGCTAGTGAATTTAAAGACCAGTAGTCTACAGTCAAGTTTCAAAGGTCTGGAAACATCATCTGAAGATTTCTTTTCCAGTTCTGGAAGTCTTATCCAAGGATTAAAAGCCATCCACTCTATGCCATGCCTTACTTACTATTCATAATCCACATTCCAAACTTGCCAGGTATCTACTTTTTAGAATACATCATACACTTTCTCACCTTCATGATCTTGTTCTTGCCACCCTCTACCTGGAAAACAGTGGTTTACTGTCAAAAGACTTCTTAGTTGTTTAGACCCAGTGCAAACAGATACCTCTTCAGTGAAGTCCTATCTAACCCCACTAAGTCAAAATTAATCACTTTCTTTGCTATACCTCTAAAGCACTCCAGATCAGAGGTGATTATCTATGTGTACTCTCCTGCTGAACTAGAAACCTGTGAGCACAGGTTATGCTATTTACTTTGTTCGCTCAAAACCTAGCACTCTAGCTTATCACAGGATAAAGCAATTAACTAACTTGAGTGTACCATTCATACCAAAGCTTAGTAATAAATGAATTAAGAGTACAAAGGACTTTGAAAAGACAAGTGCTACCTCTTTGGAAGATGGAACACAGCTGTGATCCTTCTCCATTATCAGCCATCTGAGAACATTTGAAATAGAGAGGTTTTTCCATGTTGGCCAAGGGTTAACAAATCTACCATCTTTTCCTTTTTTTGACTTAGTTACATCTTCCTCTAGTCTGTAATCCAGCTTGAAGCTTTTCCTAGAAAACCTAGAAAAATTACTTCCTCCAGAATTCGGAGCTGAATTTTGGCGTTTTCTTACTGCTTCTTTAGGATACTGGCTGCTTGTCATCAGGGACTGGCTGTTTTCACTTTCATCCATGTCCTTTGGTGAAGAACTTAAGGGAAGAAAAAAAAAAGAGGGGAGGAGTTTAACATAAAAGCATTAAAACACATTACACAGTATTATTCTTAGTCAATAAAAATTTCCCAAACTGGGCTGGGGATATAGCTCAGTTGATAGAGTGCTTGCCTTGCGCATGCACAAAGTCCTGGGTTCAATCCCCAGCACCACACACACACAAAAAAAAAAATGTCCTAAATTATAAAAATATTATGTTGTTATTAACTCCCACTTTCTTCTTGTGAAATAGTTTTAGAATCCAATATTTCTGCTTGCTAAATAGAAAAGATGTTCACCTTACTTATTAACCTAACAAAACTTTCAAAAATCTCTTCTCTGCTAGAATCTAAAAACAACATATTTCCCTAGCCAGCTTTTAAATATTTGAAATCTTCCATTTCAATGACATTCTTTCGATTAAATTAAAGAACCTTCATGAGTCTATAATGTTTTCATATCTAAATTTTTAAAATATTGTCTTTAATAATACATAGTAAGGATTGCTTTAGGATACCTCAGTAATTAAAGTGACTTACTATTTGAGTCAGCTTTTTTACTGCTGTGATCAAAAGACCTGATAAGAACCATTTTAAAGGAGGAAAAGTTTATTTGGAGCTCACAGTTTCAGAGGTTTCAGTCCACAGATGGCCAACTCCATTCCTCAGAGCCTGAGGTAAGGCAGAAAGTCACGGTGAAAGTATGTGACTGTGGAAAGCAGTTCAGAACATGGCCACCAAGAAGCAGAGAAAGCTCTCAGCTCACCAGGGACAAAATATTAACCCCAAAGGCACACACACCACAACCTACCTCCTCCAGCCATACCCTACCTACCTATGGTTACCAATCCCTTAATCCATTCAAGTGAATTGATGGACTGATTAGGTTAAGGCTCTAGTAACCCAACCATTTCAGATCTTTTTATTTTTATTTAATTCTGATTTGTTATACATGATGGCAGAATGTGATTCATTTCATAATTAGCACAATTTTTTAAGACACTGGTTGTACACAAAGTAATTTCACACCATTCATGTCTTAAACATGTATTAGGGTAATGAAGTCTAACTCATTCCACCATTATTTCTACCCCCTAGCACCTTCCTTTCCCCTCCCTCCCCTTTGCCCTATCTAAAGTTCCTCCATTCCTCCCATGCTCCACCCCCAGTCGCTTTTATGAGGCTGCACCCTCATATCAAAGAAAACTTTCAGCCTTTGTTTTTTGGGGATTGGCTTGCTTCACTTAGCATTATATTCTCCAACTTCATCCATTTACCTACCAATGCCATGATTTTATTCTCTTTTAATTCTCAGTAATATTCCATTGTGTATATATACCAAAGTTTCCCTATCCATTCATCTACTGAAGAGCTTCTAGGTTGGTTCCATAATTTAGCTATTGCAATCAATTCAATTCTAAACTTTCTTGCATTGTCTAAACCATAGCTTTTGGGGGTCAACTCATATCTACACCATAACACACATAACCCCACTTGGCCTAGGAATTTTTACGCTGAAATAACCTGATACCAATACCCTTGGAAAGTCCAGTGAGTTCAAGTCCCAGGAGATAACACATTGACAGATATTTCAATAATGTATTTAACTGTTTAACAATATAAATCTGAATTAATTCAGACTCAGAACTGCCAACTTGGTATAGTATGTATTCTAACTACGTGACTAGGAACAAGTTTTCTATCTCTCTGTTCCTTTATTTCCTCAACTGTAAAATAGGGATTAAAATGTTACCTGCCCTCAGGGTTACTGAGCAGGTAAAACAAGTAAAGCATTTGGAGACAGAGTGACACATACACTTGGCAACAGCTCAATGTTGACTGTTGTCAATGACTTTGTCCTTACGGCTACTACATCTACCACTACTGACTGCTTGACTCAAGGCATTGAAATCCTTGAATGTGAACTATTCAGGACTGCAGATATATCACACAGTGACAAATAATGTATTAAGAGTATGAATTTAATCTGCCATGAATATCATTTCTTTCCTCTTCTGTTAAACAAACATTTGCTTTCTGCTTAGTTGATTTACATATAATACAAACATATAACACACTTTATAACCCTAAGAAAATAAGCACAATAACAGAAAGTCAATAATTATTTTTGTGGCTTCAATAAGGATTAAATAGAAATACTGCCCTGCAGAGAAAGGGAAAGAACACAAACCCCAGAAAGTCCAGGTATGCTAAACCAAAACTTTTTTCCCAAACTTTAGAGTAAATAGTCTATAGCCTGGGGAATAATCACCATGAAGAAAAGAAACCACAGCAAACAAAAGCTAAAGCACTCACTGCTGCCTGCAGGAATGCCTAACATCTGAGCAAGAGCCTAACAAGCTATATATCTTGGACAAATAACTTAACCTTTCTAATTCTCCATTTTCTCACCTGTAAAATGCCTGCCTATTTGTGGAGGTTTCAAAGGATTAAATTATATGATGTACATAAAGTGTTTGGCACATACAATGCCAATTCCTTTTTCTCTAACCCTGTTAACTGGCCAGACATCTAAATTCTTTAATTACTGTGAGAATTTTAAAGGGATCTGAGTGAGGTATCTCAGCTCCCACAGAATCCCTTTTCTTGGGTTATAATTAAGTCCAAACTCTCAAGGTAGATATTATAATCCCCATTTCTTTAATTGAAGCACTCAGAAGTAAATAACCTAGTTGAAAGACAACGAGGTAGTGACAGGAAGAAAAAAAAAACAGAATAAATGCAAGAGTCAAGAGGTTGAGTCAGTAAATCTTGAGAGTATTCAGATGGTCTTGAATTTTTGGACTCTTTGTAGAACAGGTGGTGGGGATGCATTATAGAGTGGGAGGGGTCAGAAATGGCAGCCTCACTGATCAAGTTGGATTTCTGACCCAGTCACTTCAGATCATTGGGGATGCAAGAATCCAAGAGGATGGCCAGGCTTACATACCTGTAAGCCCAGTGACTTGGAAGGCTAAGGCAGGACGGAAAAAAAAATCCAAGAGAATGTTACTCACTGACCCACCCAGCAGACATACATAACCCTGGGAGCCAAGCTGCTTTGGGGGTAGTGAATTGAGAACAGCCCAGAGACATAGGGAGCCTGCTTGAAAGCCCAGAGAGTAAAACAGGAGAGCAACATGGGTTCAGTGATCTGTTTTTTCCCCAAAATAACATGGTTTTTCAAAACTGTTTATTCCTGCTACTTCCATTTTCTTACATCCCATCCACTCCATGGAAACAGGTCCCCATACCAAATGACTATCCTCTCTCACCACCTTCCCATCCTCCCTGCACAAATCCACACAAAATCGTCATCGGGGATGACTTTACAAAGACAAATCTGATACAAACAACAAACCCAAAAGGAAAAACGTCCAAAGGGTCCCTTCTGCTTGGCAAGAAAAGGTCAGTAAGATGGCTCACATGGGTTTCTGGCCCTGCCCTCCCCACCTCTGCTCTAAACACACAGTCATGATCTTACTTTCTCAGATGCATAGTGCTCCTCCCTTAGGGACACAAAATGCCATCATGGGGCCTTTGCATATGATTTTTTAATATCTGTAGGGCAGGAAGAGGGAGGGTGTAAAAATGGATATTCACAGATTATGTATTACTAAGACACATGTCAGGCAACACAAAATATGATACCAGAAAGCACCATTTCACACCATGCTTTGTAAGTGAAATAATGGAAAGGAGCAGAAGCACATAGAACCCTGAAGCCTGACAATCTGGATTGGTTCTGCCAGAAGTCCACTCAGTGAATGTGCAGAAGTACAAGCTCTGCCAACAAGTGCCTCAGTAACGAACTGAACTTCCGCCCACAGAGACATAGGGAACCTGAGAGCCAGGTCATGGAGGTCTGCTCACCAACATCAGTCTTATGGTCACTCTGTTAGTGGATAGAGCAACACCCTCACCACTGTAACACCACCTATAAACACCAAAATGACATAAAAACTAATAGAAGAATGAGTTTTATGTATGCTCCTGAGAGTAACTAACCAACTTTATTATAAAAAGGACAATTTACTATAAAAAGGACAACATAAATTCCATCCAGTAATTATCAAGCACATTCTCTACATTTCTTTGAATATTAGTTGCCCATTTAATTGCATAAGGACTCAACCCCTAGATCTTTAACCAAAAAGGGGTCTGGACTGTGACATTTGGTGAAGAGAAGTCAGCCAAGTACAAATATTTTACTTCAATAACTGCACACATGGGCAAAATGCTTTCCAAAAACAAGAATTCTCTATTAAAAAAGCAAATGTTTCATGCTTTCTTTCTTTGACATTTAAGACTTGCCAACTCCCTAGAATTGAATGTACTGCTTTATCATTTAAAAGTTAATGAAAAAGTTTTTTAAAAAAAATCATGACAGTACAACATGTTTGGGATTTCAACATATCCATAAATTATAAAATAACAAATCAGCATTCCTAGAATAGATATTCAATAAATTCTAATTGAGTGACCATCCATTTATAGAACAATCAACACACTAACATTAAATTTGAGAAGTATTCAGAACTGTATTTTCAGGTATCTGATAGAATAATATTAAATTTAGAATTCTGTATTTTCTTTCCTTATTTTTATCGAAGAGAAGTTTCCTTTTTTTGTTTTTGTTTTGAGACAAGCTCTTACTATGTCACCCAGTTTGGCCTCAAACTCCTGAGCTCAAGTGATCCTCCCACATCAACCTCCCAAATAGCTGGGACTACAGGCATGCGCCACTGCACTCAGCTAGAAAAGGGTCCTTTGACCACACTGTGAGATAACATAGCTAACAAAACCACTGCAGTTCACTGAAATGTCTGCCGAGGGCTTCAGTAGAGTAAAATGGAACTCTTCCCATCTCTCACTTTCCACCAGACACCATGTGAGACCCCACAGACACTGAAAGAACGGGTGGGAGGCAGGTATGTCCAAGCATGGGAAACACACTGGACAATGAAAGGGAGAACTTGCTGAGGGAGGCAGACACAAA